TAAGACTCTGACATGGTCCTGTATGTATGATGTCAGGAGTGTTAAGGCTCAGAATGGAGGGTAGCTGGCCAGGGGTGCCAAGGACAACAAGGACAATGAGGATTCTTTCTTTCTTTCTTTCTTTCTTTCTTTCTTTCTTTCTTTCTTTCTTTCTTTCTTTCTTTCTTTCTTTCTTTCTTTCTTTTTAAAGCTGTACTGGGGGGTGGGGTGAGGAAGACAAGATCAAAGGAGGTGTAGAACCACTGCCTTCATTGAATGGGATGGTAATTGACAATGAGGAGAGAGGGAGACGTGTCCAATTGTTATTTTGCTTCTGGTTTTTTTTTATATTTTCCTGCCAATGAGAATGACCTTTGGCCTGGAAGGGGCAAAACAAAGGTGGCTAAGTGAGAGTTGATACCCAAGATATGGAAGTCTATAATAGAGGCTCTAGGTGACTTTGATGAATTTGAATTCCTTGGCTCAGATAAGTTCAATCTTTAAGTCTCGAAAGAACTGGCAGCTTTGACTGCTGAGCCATTATCAGGGGTGGTTCAAATGTCAGGGAAAACATGACATGTATTGCAGCACTGGAGAAAGATGTCTCCCTTTATATTAAATGAGTAGAAAAGTCTTCAAACGGTAAGCCGAGTAGGAACTTGACTTTGATTCTTGGGAAAATTCTACAATAGCTCCTTAAAGACAAGATTGATGAATACCCAGAAAAAGGAATAGTGATTTCAAAGAACCTAAATTTCTTCATCAAGAGTTGTCACGGAAGAATCATCTGACACTATTGCCCTTTTCAGGCAGCATGACTAAATAAGTTAACCCGAAGAGTCCTGTAGGCATAGTCTCTCTGGATCTTATTTTCTTCTTTTTTTATTCAACTAGAGTTTAGCAAAGCATTTGATCTAGTACCTCATAGTATTTGTTTTGTGCATAGAGGTGTGGAGTACAGCATTACACAAATAGGTGGAGTCAAGAAAGTTTGGGTGATTAGATTCAAAATAGGATCAAATGAGATAATATTTATAAAGAGCTTAGCACAGTGCCTGGCACCTAATAGGTTAGTAAATCCTTGTCCCCTCCCCCTTAGGGAAGCTAGGTGGCAGAGTGGTTAGAGTGCTAGGCTTGAAGTAGAGACACCTGAGTTCACATCTCAGGTCCTTACTGACTGTGTGACCCTGGGCAAATCACTTAACCTCTCTGCCTCAGTTTCCCCAACTGTAAAATGGGGGAAACAATAGTACCTACCTCACAGTGCTGCTGTGAAGATCAAAAGAATGCTTTGTGAAGCACTTGGCGTAGTGCCTGTCACAGAGTAGACATTTAATAAATGCTTATTCCCATCTTCTTCCCCTGCTTACTAAATGGTTCAGTCACACGATGCTAAAAAAATCTCCAGTCTGAGGGTCCCAGGGATCTGTACTTGGTCCTGTGCTATTGGCCATTTTTACAAATGACTTAGTTACAGGCATAGATGGTGTGCTCAGCAGATTTGCAGATCACAGAACGAGGAAGGAGAGCTAATGCGGTGGTTAGAAGAATCAGCATCCAAAAAGATCTTGACAATCATGAGCACCAGGCTGAAAGAAATATGAGAACAGGACCTCTCCACCAATCAACAGTACTCCTCCATGAAAGGCACTGGAGATACAAAACCAAAAATGAAACAACCCCTGCCCTCAAGAAGCTTGCATTCTATCAGGGGAAGCACCATGTGAAAAATAAGTATATACAGAATGGGCATGAAATAAATATGAAGGAGTTTTAGAAGGGAGGGAGTTGGGTGGGTAGATGGCACAGTGGATAGAGCTCTGGCCTTGGAGTCGGGAGGACCTGAATCAAATCTGGCCTCAGACACTTGACACTGTGTGACCCTGGGCAAATCACTTAACCCCATTGCCTGTCCAGAAAACAAAATAAAAAGGGAGGGGGGCCAGGGACCCCCTTTGAGTACCTGAAGAGGGTCAGGAAAGGCTTCATGCAGGAGGTGTGTGTGAGCTGAGTCTTGGAAGAAGACAGGATTTGAAGGGACAGAAGTGAGGCAGGAGTGTATTCCAGGCACAGAGATGAGTCAGTCGAAAGGCAAAGAGATAGGGCATGAGATTAAATGAGGACAGAACTCAAGTGCCTGGCTGCATTTTTAGCTCTGAGCCCAGGTCATCAAACAGTGATCCTTAAAAGTGAACATTTCTCAGCCTGTTGGTAACCTGGTGAGTTCAAGAAGTGATGAGCAGGTGCCCAGCAGGGAGTGATTTGTGCCTTATTACCCCAATGAATCTGTAGGTTTAATTCAACACTAGTATTTTATATAAATCTAAATTTTTGGGGTTACATTTTAAGTTCTGAACTGTTTCCCTCCACCACCACCCCACCCTGCACTAGAGAAGGCCACTATCTGACACATATCTATATACAGCTAGATACACACATACACATATATGTAAAATCATACCATGCATACTTCCGTTTATCAGTTCTTTCTCTGGAGGTGGCTAGTATTCATAGGTCCTTTTTAGTTGATCTGAGTATTTATAATACTCAGAATAGCTTAGCTATTCACAGTTATTTTTTGAATAGTATTGCTGTTACTGTATACAATGTTCTTTTGGTTCTGCTCATTTCACTCTTCATTATTTCATACAAGTCTTTTCATATTTTTCTAAAATCAACTTGCTCGTCATTTCTTACAGCACAGTAATATTGCATCACAATCATTTACCACAACTTATTCAGCCATTCCCCAATTGATGGGCATCCCCTCAATGTCCAGTTCTTTGCCACCACAAAGAGAGCTGCTATAAACATTTTAGAACATATAGGCTCTTTCCATTTTTCCCTGATCATCTTGGGGAACAGACCTAATAGTGGTATTTTAGAGTCAGAGGGTATAGGCAGGTTAATAACTCTTTGAGCATCATTCCAGATTGCTCTCCAAAATGGCTGGATCAGTTCACAATTCCACCAATACTGTCTCAATTTTCCCACATCAAATCAATGCTAGTTGAAACAATGAGATTCCTCAGAGGATTATACCTCCACCTAAACTTTAATAAACAGAGGGTCAAAAAAATCAAGGGAAATAAATCAATCAATAGACATTTATTAGGGTGCTTACCATGTGCCAGGCCCTGTGCTAAGTGTTGGTGATAGAAAGAAAAAGCAGAAACAGACCCTGCCTTCAAGGAGCTCACTTTCTAATAGGGAGACAACATACATATAATTGGCATATACAGGATAAATACAGAAGAGAAGAAAGGTGGCTTTAGAAGGGAAGGCTCAAGTGGTTTGGGTTGGGAACCGTGCCAGGCTTCACACAATACTCCGTGCTTGAGCCGAGTCTTAGTGGATGTTCAGTAAACATCCTAAACTCAACATTTACAAAACGGAACTTTCCCCCTAAACCTCCCCCTGCCCTACCTTTCCTATTACTATAGAGGGCAATGCCGTCCTCCCAGTTCCCCAGCCTCAAAACCAGGTATCATACTAGACTCCTAGCCGTCCCTCACTCCCCTCCTCCCCACCTGTTGCCAAGGCCTATAAATTTCACCTTTGCAGCCTCTCTGGAACATATCCCCTTGTCTCCTCTGACACAGCTACCAGCCAGGTTCAGGCCCCATCACCTCATGCTGGCATTATTGCAACAGCCTGAAAGTAGATCTGCCTGACCCCTGTCTCTCCCCACTCCAATCCATCCTCCGTTCAGCCACCAAAGTGATTTTCCTAAAGCCCAGGTCTCAGTGTGCCACTCTCTCCTCCCCTCAATAAATTCCAGTCTCTATCATCTCCAGGATCATAAATAAGATCTTCTGTTTGATATTGAAATCCCTTCATTACCGAGCTTCCTTCTACCTTTCCAGTCTTCTCACACTTTACTCTCAGCCAGGTACTCTTTGATCAAGTGACATCCACCTCCTTGTTGTTCCATAAACAGGACATTCTACGTCTTGGATCCCATCACTTTCCACAGCTGGTCCCTCATACCTGGGTGCTCTTCCTCTTCATCTCTGTCTCCTGGCTTCCTTGCCTTCTTTTCAGTCCCAATTAAAATCTCACCTTTTGCAAGATGTCTTTCCTAACCCCTCTGAATTGTAGTGCCTTCCCTCTTTTAGTTATTTCCTATATGTCACACACACACGGGAGGGGAGAGAGAGAGAAGGGACTATTTCATCTTCTTGTATCCCTAGCACTTAGCAACATACCTGGCACACACCAGGTGCTTAATAAATGTTTATTGACTGACTTAAAGGAAGTCACAGATTCTATGTGGTGGAGGTTAAGGGGGAAAGCATTTGAGGAGTGGGGTGTGGGGTGGGGCAGTCAGGCCAAAGGCACTGAGGTGCCAGGTGGAGTGGTCCTGGTTGAAGACTGGCATCTAGGCCAGTTTGGCTGGCCTAGAGAATGCTGGGAAGAGGAAGGCGTTTAAAGACAGGAACACTAGAGAGGGACTGGGTTGTGGGATGCTCTGTAGTCAGACACGACGACGGAAACACGACTTAACCGCAAAGCTGCTCCTCTTTTGGGGTGTAGCGCCCTAAGTTTAGAACGATTTACAAAGAATAAGGAAAAGGAAAGGAAGGTATCCAGGTTGGCGGCACTGCGCTTTGTGACATTTGCCCCTTGCCCAGCTTACTCCAGAACGTTCCAGACTGGCAGGGTCTTATTCATTGTTGCCCCTGGAGAAGTCGAGCGGAGACTCGTAATTCTTTTTAGGGCTGGCCAGGGGCCAAGAGGACGGAGAACTCGCTGCGCGAACAGTGGACCTCCAGTGTCCTCACCACTCACCCCAGGACAGCGTGTTGGGAGCTTTGACGGGGTAGAAAGGGTGGCGCCGGACCTGACCACCCGCACTCCAGGTTCAGGGGACGGTAGTTGGCCGCAGCTCGAGGGCCCTGGGGGTTGGGCAGCGGCCCCGAGCTTTTTATTCTGTGTCTCCCGAGGGCTCAGCGACTGTGGCCGCAGACAGTGTCCATCCTGGCCCCAGTCGATCCAGTCGTTTGTCCTACGGAAGTTCCATCTGTGCGCCATCCCTCTCTCCCTTTCTCCATCTTTCGTGTAGTTCTCTCTACACACTGTTGTGTGTCTCCTCAGGTATTACGAAAGGAACAAAGGAAAGAAAATGCAAGGGATGGGGGGCTGGGGGGAGGAAAAGGCTGCGCAGTGGGGGTCAATTATTTAGGTCCTTAAGGCCATTCTAAGTACCATAGAGATTTGAACCCAGTCCTCAGACCTCAAGTCAGTCGGGTGCGCCCATGCTATGATCATCTCCGCTGCTTGAAGGCTCAGTTGTGCTGGCAGACAACGCATCTCACGGAGCTTTCTGATTTCCTGTGCCTGGGGCTGGAGGATTTCTGGCTGTTCTCCGAACATTCTGATCGTCTTTGGGCCTGACGGTTCTTAATCCTTCAACGGACGCCTGACTGTATACAGAACACTAGAGTTTGCAAAGCGCTTTGCGTTCACTATCTCATCTGAACCTTACAATAGCCCTTTAAGGTATTATTATCCCCATTTTGCAGGTGGGGAAACCAAGGCTCAGAGAGGTTAGGTTACTAGCTCACAGTCACCCAGCCAGTATGGATCAAAGGCAGGCCTTCATTCCAAGGTTTCCTTATTCTGAGGCCAGCCTTGTGTCCACTGCATCAGGCTGCTTCACTTTGTACATGAGAAAAAACTGGTCATTGCTTCTTCAGACAGTCCGTTCTTGGTCCACATTCAAGACTGTCTCCAGTGCTGAATATTTATTGTATTATTCGTGGGATATTCAGAGTCACTCTGGGAGGCAGGTACTGCCCAGGAAGTTATTTTACAGTTGAAGAAACCAAGGCTCAGAAAATAAGTGTTAGGGGCAGTATTTGAACCTAACGTTTCCTGACTCCCAAGTCCAAAATAACGATCACTAAGTTCAGTGGGAAGGAATACAGACATGTTCCTTTGGACTGCTATTTGTTTTGGTCTCATTAACACAAATGGTATTAAGAAATGTTTGTTTCCTTGAAAATATCAATTATATAATTTTAGACATAAAGTATATGCAGACTGGCCAGATCTAGGAAATCGGTGAAATGTTCTTAAGGATCATCAACATTTTCAAGCTACCATTAGAGAGAGCAGGACTGTTTTGTGCCAACGTCGCTAAGGATCACATGAGATATCATTACAGATGACAGAGAAAATGAGACAGAAATGTTTGTTCTCAGTCACCTGACTGACAGCATGCTGCCTGATTGCCTCTGCTCCTGGCTGGGTGGTCTCCTTTATAGAGAGGAAAAGCTCTGCTTCTGGTGTCACTTATCAGTAAATTCTCGGTTTTTTTTTTTAAATTGGCCTTAAAGGTTTGAGGGGCTAAGAGACCCATGGACAAACATGGATACACACGGTTGATCTTTTCTTCACTTATGACTGGTTCTTCAGCCAGGTTATCAGCAGCCTTAAATGCACACTGTTTTTATTAGGGTGGTAGGGGAAAGGTATATGATGGATGATTTCTCATAAGTGGCTTAACAGTGACACTCATTCAGTCACCTTGGGTGACTTTTGGCTTTGTCTCTGCGTGGGAAGTCTGCCCATCATGGTAGTCAAAAGGACAGTGGTTCAAATCTTGTGTCTGTCATTTACCGTCTGTGTGACGGCAGGCAAGGCCCAATCTAATGGGGCCCTGGTTTCCTCATTTGTAAAATGATGGATTAGAAAAGATGACCTTGAGGTTTCTTTCAGCTCCAGATCTAAGAGCCTATGGTAACAATTAACCTGAAAATGACATTGGAAGAACTGATTGCCAGCTCTGAGTAAGGGAGGGGAAGCCCAGGGGAGCTTCTTGCAAAGGAAGAAATCGGCTGAATTTTTTAGCATGAAAATTATGAGGTTAACAGCAGCTATACTTCAAAGCAAATTGAACACTTTATCATACAAGCAAACAAGCATTATGATCAATTCTTTTTTTTAAATTTGGAGAACATTTTATTTTGGTTTTCAGATGTAACATTTCATTTTTATTGTTTTATAAATAGTATATTTTAAAGTAATTTTCAACATTCCTTTTTCATAAGATTTTAAGTTTCAAATATTTCTCCTTCCCTTCCCTCCCCCCTTCCCAAGATGGCAAGCAATCTCAATCAATGATTCTTAATATAGACATTTCATCTACTTAGGAAAGAAGTCTCCTTAAATGGAAGTTATGTTGGCAGTTTTCACATACTATAATGGAAACCTGGATGCTAAGAAAAACACAAGGGCTTTTAAAAAAAGTTATATTGGGAGACAAAGAAGGATCTGAAAAGGCATTAGACCTTTGCTTGGGGAAGATGAGATAATGATTGATAACCAACAAGAGATAGGAGGTGAAGCTACCCAATTTCCATTTTGTTTCTGCTTTCTGTGCCAAAGAGAATAACTTTTTGGATTGGGAGGGACAGAAAATGACTCACTTGGTATCCAAGACAAATAAGGAAATAGTAAAAGAGACCCTAGCTACCACTGCTGAATTTAAATCCCTTGGCCCAGATGAACTATATGAAAGAATTGGCAGCTGTGATCCCTGTCAATGATATTGGAAAGATCATGGAAAATAGGAGAAGTGCTACACAATTAGAGAAAGGTGAATGTTCTGATTAAAAAATAAAGAAGAGAGTCTGTCCACTGTAGACCAGTGAATTGAACTTTGATTCCTAGGAAAATTTAACCCATTCAAAAGATGATTTGTGAACCATCTCCTGGAAAGGGAAGCAGTGATTCTGAAGAGCCAGGTTGGCTTCCTCAAGAACAAATTGAATCACACTAACCTCATCTCCTTTGTTGACAGAGTCACCAAGCTAGTGGACAAAGGCAACAATTTTAGTAAAGCTTTTTGATAAAGTATCACATTCTATACTTGAGGAGACAATCATGACATATGTATTAGATGATTTGATAACAGATGTATTCAGAACTGGTTAGATGGCTGGCTTCAGAGAGCCATTGTGAATGCAGTGTCATTGTGACAAGATGTCTCCAGGACAGGACCTTAGGGCTCTGGACTTGGTTTATCAAAGACTTAGACAAAGGCATAGATGGCCTGCTCAGCAAACGTGTAGATGACACACAGCTAGGAGGGTTAGCTAACACACTGAAACACTGGAACATGGCACTGAATGTACTAAGATGGAATTCAATAAAGGCAAATGAGAAGTCTTGCCCTTGGGTACAAAAATTCCAAAGATGGGAAAGGTATGAATAGATGTTGACATGTTCAGAGAAGGATCTGGGGGTTTTGGTGGACAGAAAGCTCAATGTGGGTCAGCAGCGTGACAATGGCTGCCAAAAACTCCAACGTGGCCTTGGGCTGTAGTAGGAGGGGCAGAACTTCCGGAAAAAGGAAGTTGAGAATACCCTGGATTCTGCTTTTGCCAGACCTCCTTAGGAGTACTGTCTCCTCTTCTGGGCACCACAATTGAAGAATGGCGCTGCTAAGCTGAACAGCATGTTGAAGACAGTGAAGCTCATTGGAGAGAATTGAGCATGTTTAACCTGCCTACAAGGATACTAGGGTGCCGGGTCTGTAATAGCCATGTCAAGGTATTTAAAGGGCTGTCATGTAGGAGAGGAATTAGCGCTATGTTGTAGAATAACAATTAGTATTTATAAAGTGCCTACTATGCACCATGCGCTGTGCTAAGTGCTTTACAAATGTCTCGTTTGTGTGGCCCCAAAGAGCAGAATCAGAAACAAAGGACAGAAGTTGCAAACGGACTAATCCCTGATGTCGGGGAAAAACCCCAGAGAAACCAAAACTTGCCTAAGCACCAGAGCCGTCCAGAGGGGAATGGGCTGCCTCTGGGGGTCTTCTTGGAGGTCTTCAGGCAGATTCTGAATGAGCACCAGCTGGGTATTGTGTTGGTGATTCCTTCCTGTGTGGGTTTGACTGAGTTTCCTTCCAACTCTCAGATTCTGTGACTCAGGGAATCCAGGGCCATGCAGGGCTCAGTCCATCGAGCAATAAAGCTGAGCACTCTGCTGGCACAGAGGAGATAACGTGCCTCCAGGTCAGGTGGATATATGTTTGTAACTTCTGTTCTTGCTAGATCTTCTCAGTCAAAAGGAGAAGAGGAAGAGGAGGTAAGGCTCAGATCTGCTTTCCATTTACAGGCAGAGGTTCACACACCAGTAACAACTTGAGTCATGGTATGGGTCAGAGCAGTCATATTGGCCAAGAAAGAGGCCACCCAGACTAGACTGAAAAACATGCTTTGAGGACTACAGTGCCCTCCTGGGTCAGTTGGAGCTATGTGGCAATCAGCCCTTAGGCATATACAATCCTTTGTGTGGATAAACTCAAGTCCATTCCTCCCACTTTCTCTTCAGTGTGTTTCCTTTCCCCTTTTCACTCATTCAGCAGGTAAATGGCAGGCAAGAAGAAAGAAGCCCAGTTACAGGTATGCATCATGAGCTATGGGCCATTTGGAGGCTGGGTCCATTGTTAACTTAACCACCGGGTAGTTACACAGTCCTTTCCTTGTTGCAGACACTCGTCAATAATGAAACTCTGTGGGAAGAAATGCTGCACAACAAAGGCCTAACAGGTATTCCAGGGATTGCTACCCCTTTAGTGGGCTAGATTGGGGCCCAGCCTTTTTCCCTGACCCCCTGCTCAGGAGTCACCCAGTAATGGGGTATTGGCCAGTAAGGAGCCACCCCAACCTTTCAGCCCAGATATGGAGGGATGCCTCTGCAGATATCACTGATGTTGCCTAACCCTCCCTTAACATGTCTATGTTTTAGTAATCGATGTATATCAAGCTTGGTGCGGACCTTGCAAAGCAGTACAGGCTTTGTTCCGGAGGCTGAAAAATGATCTTTCATCAGAGGAGGAGCTTCTTCATTTTGTTGTGGTGAGGATCTATGTCCAAAGGTCCCAGATGGAGAATTGGAAGGGACCACTGATATCCTCTGGTCTAGTCTTCCAGAGGGTCATAAGAGCTGAGGTGGATTCACTGAAGCACATTTGCCATGGCGTCTGATATCATGCTTCCTCTTTCTCCTGCCTGGTATATGTTTGCTAAGAGCAAAGAGCAGCTACTTTAACTTGGGGGAGGTTTTCATCTTTTCTGAGCACAAACTTTCTCATCTATGAAAGAGAAGTGATCATATTTGTAGTATTTCTACTGAAGTCCCATTTGGATGCCTCCTCATGGCTGGGAGGTAGTCCCTAGTGATGGAGGTGGATTTGATGAATGCTTCCCTTCAGAAGAGGAGGCAGGGAAATGTAGAATGATTAATGCACAGTATCACTCTTAGGGGCCAGCTAGGTAGCTCAGTGGATAGAGCACTGGGGCTGGAGTCAGAAAGACCTGAGTTCAAATGTGACCTCAGACACTTACTAACTCTGTGACTCTGGGCAAGTCACTTCACCTCTCTTTGCCTCAATCCCCTAGAGAAGGAAATGATAAACCCCTCCAGTATCTCTGCCAAGAAGCCCCCATGGATGGTATTGGCATGATATGGTCTGTGGTGATAACAATCACCCTTAGACCCAGGCAAAGCAAGAAGTGGGGACCTGCCCTGGTTCCCACACCTTAAGGGACATTGTACTTTAGAGGACCCCACTCATTGTAGGCAAAAATAAAATTATGAGGTAGCTTTAGGCCAGGCTGGACTGAATTTATTTTCATTCTCTCCCCCTAGCATTGTGGGGATATAGATGTTATTATGCCCCATTTATCAGTGAGGAAACTGAGGATCATAAATGTTAAGTGACTTGCCCAGAGTCACACAGTTAGTAAGTGTCTGAGGTTAGATTTGAACTCAGGTCTTTCTTTTTTTTTCCCCCTTCACTTAATTGTATTTTGTTTTTTCCAATTACATGTAAAGACAGTTTTCAGCATTCACTTTTGAACTCAGGTCTTTCTGATTCCAGGGCCAGTAGGTTCTTTCCACTGTGCCATCTAGACAGGACATCTCAATCACGTTCTTTGAAACCTCTGCAATGGTAAATAGAGGTTTGGAAACACACTCTTTTTTATTCTCGATTGCTGTGTGTGTGTGTGTGTGTGTGTGTGTGTGTGACTAGAGGCAGTGGTATCATCCACAAGGAGGCAGATCTTAGCTTGGTGTAAGGAGCAGTTGGGGGGCAGCTTGGCCCTTGACACAGGCAAGCTGGGTACCCTTGTACCCATGGACAAGTCCCTTACACTCTCAATGCCCAAGGCCACTGTTCTTCAAACTTTTGACAGCTCACCCATCAGTTAAAAATTATATTTAATTATAAGTTATATGCATGTACTCCGGCGCTAATATGGTACATTATAGAAAAATAGACGTTCAAGAGGAGATAGAGGTAAAATACACAATTTAAAATATTTTAGTTATTGTACAAAACCCTTTTTGTCCTTGATAAAATATTAACATTTTTCTAATGAGAATAGTGTGACTAGACATTTTATTATTTAAAAAGAAAAACCCAACCCCTCCAAATACCTATAAAAAATGGCTCTAAACAAATTCTAGAGCAGCAGAACCCACAAAAAGACAGAATGAAACAAATTTCCAGCCCAAGACAACCTGGAAGGTTGGCAGGAAGTCTGTGTATCGGCCTGGGAGGGCAGTGCAGCAGTTCAGTGTGGGCGCTCAGGCAAAGACCAGGCCTCAGAGAACCTGGAGCAGGCCTCAGGGCACTGAATCACCAGCATCTGTGGCAGTTTCCAGACTTCTCAACCCACAAACACCAAAGACCACTTAGAAGGTTAGTAGGAAGGTCTCTACCAGAGTGATAGAGGAGCGTGGTCAGGCCCCAGTCCCTGAGTAACCCTGGGGCTGTGGCTGCTTCCAGAGCTACCAGCCCACAGACTGAGGTGGGGGATCAAGTGACTGATCAGAGGGGCATTTCAGGGATCTCTTTGCTGGTGCTGAGGTAGGATTCTCTTGCTTTGCCCACGCTTGAATCCAGGTTGCAGTTCTGGATGGTGATCCTGGGTCAAGGAGGAGTGCTAGCATGGTAGAGCTTGTAGTAGTGGTACAGAGAGAATCCTCCTCACAGTTCCAAGGCAGAAAAGAGTGCTTGTGGTCACTCACAGACCAGAGCACAGGCCAGGAAAGGAGTAAACACCTTGGTCTTGATCATACCACCTTGGAAGAACTGAAAACTTACAAGTTCCCTATCTCTGAAAACAGCCGCACAAAACCCCCCAAAGCTTGGGACAGTACATTCTCCACATTGGAAACAGACCCCTGCCTTAACAAAGAGTTTAAAACTCAAGTAATTGGCTGGAAAAATGAGCAAACTGCACAAAAAAAAGTCAGACCATTGAATCTTTCTCTGGTGACAAAGAAGATCAAAACATACAACCAGAAGAAGACAACAAAGTCAAAGCTCCTACATCCAAAGCCTCCAAGAAAAATATGAATTGGTCCCAGGCCATGGAAGAGCTCGAAAAGGATTTTGAGAAGCAAGTAAGAGAAGTAGAGGAAAAATTGGGTACACAAATGACAGTGATGCAAGAAAATCATGAAAAACAAGTCAACAGCTTGCTAAAGGAGACTTCCCCCAAAATACTGAAGAAAATAACACCTTAAAAAATAGACTAACTCAAATGGCAAAAGAGGTCGAAAAAGCCAATGAGGAGAAGAAGGCATTATAAAGCAGAATTGGCCAAATGGAAAAGGAAGTCCAAAAGCTTACTGAAGAAAATACTTCCTTAAAAATTAGAATGGAGCAAATAGAAACTAGTGACTTTATGAGAAATCAATACATTATAAAACAAAACCAAAAGAATGAAAAAATAGAAGACAATGTGAAATATCTCATTGGAAAAACAACTGACCTGGAAAATACATCCAGGAGAAATAATTTAAAAATTATTGGACTACCTGAAAATCTTGATCAAAAAAAGAGCCTAGACATCATCTTTTAAGAAATTATCAAGCAGAACTGTCCCAATATTCTAGAACTAGAGGGTAAAATAGAAATAATCCACTGATCACCTCCCAAAAGAGATCCCCAAAGGAAAACCCCTAGGAATATTATAGCCAAATTCCAAAGTTCCCAGTTCAAGGAGAAAATATTGCAAGCAGCCAGAAAGAAACAATTCATGTATTGTGGAAACACAATCAGGATAACACAAGATTTAGCAGCTTCTACATTATGGGACTGGAGGGCTTGGAATGTGATATTCTGGAGATCAAAGGAGATAGGATTACAACCAAGAATCACTTACCCAGAAAAACTGAGTAAAATCCTTCAGAGGAAAAAAATGGGTCATTCAGTGAAATAGAGGACTTTCAAGCATTCTTGATGAAAAGACCAGAGCTGAATAGAAAATTTGACTTTAAAAAACAAAACTCAAGAGAAGCATGAAAAGGTAAACAGGAAAGAGAAATCTAAAGGGACTTATTAAGGTTGAACTGTTTACATTCCTGCATGGGGGGCAGCTAGGTGGTGCAGTGGATAGAGCACCCGCCCTGGATTCAGGAAGACCTGAGTTCAAATCTGGCCTCAGACACATAACACTTACTAGCTATGTGACCCTGGGCAAGTCACTTAACCCCATTGCCTAGCCAAAACAAAACAAAACAAAACAAAAAAACAAAAAAATACATTCCTGCATGGAAAGATGATATTTGTAATTCATGAGACCTTTGTCAGTATTAGGGAAAATATATATGGATAGATAGATATATAGATAGATATCTAGATAGATAGAGGGTACAGGGTGAGTTGAAGATGAAGGGGTGATATCTAAAAAATAAAATTAAGGGGTGAGAGAGGATTATACAGGGAGGAGAAAGGGAGAGTAGAATAGGGTAAATTATCTCACATAAAACAGAGAAGAAAAAGCTTTTACAGTGGGGGGGAAGTAGGGGAAGGTGAGAGGGAATGAATGAATCTTATTTTCATTGGATTTGGCTTAAGGAGGGAATAACATACACACTCAATTGGGTATGGAAATCTATCTTACCCTACAGGAAAATAGGGGGGAAAGGAATAAGAGGCAGGGATGATAGAAGAGAGGGCAGATTGGGAGAGGGGTAATCAGATACAAACACTTCTGAGGAACAGGGTCAAAAGAGAGAATAGAATAAATTGGATGGGATAGGAAGAAGGAAAATATAGTTAGTTTTTCACAATATGACTACTATGGAAGTGTTTTGCATAACTGCACATGTATAACCTGTATTGAGTTGCTTGCCATCTCGATGAGGGTGGGTGGGGAGGGAGGAAGGGAGAGAATTTGGAACCCAAATTTGGAACCCTTTGGAATCCTTTTAAAACAAATATTAAAAATCATTTTTACATGCAACTGGGAAATAAGATATACAGGCAATGTAGTATAGAAATCTATCCTGCCCTACAGGAAAATAGAAGGGGAAGAGGATAAAAGAAAAGGGGGTGATAGAAGTGAGGGCAGATTGGGGGAAGGGGTATTCAGAATGCATGCTGTCTTGGGGTGATGGGAGCGGAGAGATGGGGAGAAATTTTGGAACTCAAAATCTTGTGGAAATGAAAATTTTAATAAAAAAATGTAAAAAAAAATAAAAAGAAACACCTTGTTTCTGTCCTGACAGGGCAAACTTACAGCTTTTTATATGTTTGTTTTTTTGGTTTTTTGTGGAGTTACTTCATTTCATCCTTTTTTTTTTTTTGGCTGGGCAATGGGGTTAAGTCACTTGCCAAGCGTCATACAGCTAGTAAGTGTTAAGTGTCTGAGGCCTCATTTGAACTCAGGTACTCCTGAATCCAGGGCCAGTGTTCTATCCACTGTGCCACCTAGCTGCCCCTACTTCATTTCATCCTTGATTTGACATTGTATATCACTGCTGTAACATTTTGTTTGCATGACACATTTTATACAGCCAGCGAGCCAGCCAGGACTAGGTACTCTTCTGCAAACTCTCTCTGTGGTCTCTTACCTCTGTGGATTTGTGTGGTCTGTCCCTGAAGCCTCGAATAAGCCCCTTCTTCATCTCCTGCATGGTAGTTTGGGGGCCCCCTTGCCTGACCCTCCTAGCTCTTGGTTCTTTCCCACTTACACTTTCCTTGAGTTCTTTCTCCCCTGACTTTGCCCCTGTAACTTCTCCTGTGTCAGGTGTACATCATAACTTATGCACTCCATGAGGGCAGGGACTATAATGTCAATGTCTAATCAAAAAACATGATTCAGCACCTGCCCTGTCAGGTACTGTGCTAGGTTCTGGAGCTACCATAAAAAAATAAGTCTCCATCCTTAGGGAGCATATATTTTACTAGGGGCAGCAATGTGTTTAGAGATGAGTAAATACATAGATTACATACAAAATAAAGATGTAGCCATTTGGAGTGGGGCTAACATCCAGGAGAATCAGGAATGGACTCCTGAGGGAGGGGGCATTTCAGCTGAGGTGCATAGGGGCCAGGCAGCCTAGTCCTAGGCAAAGACCTAAAGAAAGGAGATGGGTTGTTATGTGTCATATCAAAGTTGAAGAATGCTAACTATAATACTGATCTTAGTAGCATCACCTCTATGTTCTGTGCAATAGATGGCTTTTGATGTCCTGTATCTACTTCTTAGAAATTTCTGATATATCCTGTACTAGCTGCTTAAAAATTCTGAGGGCTTTACCTAAATTTTTAATGGTTTACATAATGCTCCACTATTCACTTAAATGTGTTTTAAAAAAAAATATAATAGTCATTTATGTAATGACTATAACTGTAAAATACTTAAATCAAAAAATTCTCCTGTTTTTCCAAGGGGCAGATTGAAGGCAGGTCTTCATCAAAGTGTGCATGTGCCCCAGTTTATCATATTGCACACAAATTGTGTCTTCTGTAATGTGATGCTAAGTTACAAACTTGATTGTGTGGAGACTAGAATATTTGATCTTTAATTTTCATATTTGTGTTTATTTAAACTGTCATAAATAATAGTACAACCCTCCTTCCTCCAAGTGTAGTATAATTTTAACATGAAAATAGTGTCAAAAGTTTCTATCAGCAATTGAAACATAAGTTCCACTTAATTTCATTTCTTAAATTATGATTTTCTTACATTGGTATGTTTAATAAAAATCATTTTAATTTCAAGAAAGATACAGTTATTGTATCTGAGGTTTCAAAATAGTAGGGAACTATGAAATGTAGACAGTATTCCATTTTCCGGTTTATTTGTATTGTCAGCACAACAAATACTAATAAAAGACAACAATTTAAACTTTAGTGAAAAAAATGCAACAAAATTTTTCTTTAAAATGCTCTATTGCATGAAAATGAACATCATTGTTAGGGCCTTCTATGAAGGGTCTTTTTAATGCGAAATACACCAAAATAGAATTCTGATCTATAATAAAATGTTTATTCACTATGCTTTATTCTTTGACATGCACTGTCACAAAAAGGACCATCTTTTCAGTTTTTCTTAGAATATATAATAACTGGCTCTTCAATATGCTCTAACTTTTGAGTCTCAGCTGTCAGCTGTATTGGAAAACACTTCTGAAAATGAAGCTATGGATATTTGGGGCATGTTGAAGGCCTGCAAACAGGAGTGAGCTGAGGCCTCGTGGTATAAACCATTTCTCTAGACTGTCTGAAGAAGAATGTTGGAAATAGCCTGAAGGATGTGTGTGTGTGTGTGTGTGTGTGTGTGTGTGTGTGTGTTGAGAGGAACATGTCCTTTAGTCTTCAGTGGTCATGGATTATCCCAGGTAATGGTTTGTGGTCTGCAACAGTAATCCAAATTTAGACAATTATTTCTGCTCTGTACAGTTCATTGTTTTGAATCATAACACTTCTTATGAAAAGATGAATGTTATAAGCTAATTATTCTAAATCTATTGATAAATCAGCATGCCTCCCATGGACCCATGAATTTTGTAACACATTTTAAAAATCATATTGTTTATATAGATAGGGCCTTTGCAGAAAACATTTGCTGGGGGCTATTCAACCTAGAATGGTCCTACTGATGCATATCCATGAGTGCAGCCAGTAATTCAAAACAAATTCTACCGTTAACAGTCATTCAGAGAAAGGCTTGGATTGGCTTCCCAGCACAAGGGGCTAAATAGCTAAGGACTCTGGGAATAGTGATCTTTTCCAAACCTAGAAAGAAAGAGAATCATGGATGGGGCCAGCTCGAGTTTGAGCTATGCTTTTGGGGAGATTTACATATGCAACCTCATTTCCTCTAGGTTAGATCAAGTTTGGGAATCTAGTGGGTGGCAGTGAGTATGGACATGTCTTTTGTATCTTACCAGCATGATTAACTGTGTTCATTGGTTTGTATTTTGTTCAAGCAGTCCTATAATCAGTTCTGCTCAGCATGAGGCTTAGTCTTTGTTCCAACCCTCAAATTCTTGGATTCTCAAAAAATAATGCCTGAGGAGCTTCAGCTATGTCAAGCCCTACCATACAGGAGGGAAAGAGGTGGTTCACATGTATGTTGCCCAAGCACCAGACTGATCAGATCTGGGGAGGTTGGCCACAACTCTTCAACACCATTTACTTTTGCTACATAGTAAGTCTGGAGATGGTGTGGAGGAGATTCTTGATGTATTATATATCTATCTATATTTATATCTATACCCATATCTATACCTATTTATCTCTATCTCTATCAGTCTGTCTGTCTGTTTCTCTGTCTGTCTATCTTAGCTAGCTAATCAACTAGAAAGGCTGATAACACCCACCTCACTTTGTCCACTGAGCACCTGCTACATGCAAAGGAAGAGGCGGCATGGTGTGACCAAGGTGGCTTTGTAATCAAGAAGGCTTGGGGTTAAGCCCTGCCTAGAACACTTAACTAGTTGTATGACAAAGGACGAGTCACTTTACGGCTCAGCACCTCAGGCAATTTTGAGGTTGTAAGTTACAGAAAAGGTGTTAACCCTCATTGAGGGAGGGAATTTCCATACCAGGAATTACCCTATCAATGAAATGACAGGTCAGAGGCTTGAAAAGCTAGAGTTGGAAGCAATCCTGGAGACCAAATATATATCTATTGATACCTACATATCTGCAACTTGGATTCTGATCTCAGCCTACATGACAGTCAAGCCAAGTACACACACATACAACTATATATATACATTCACTTGTATTTGAACAACCAATCTCTAGCTCCCTCTGTCTCTATTTATGAGAGTAATTACATTTAATTACTTCCTTAAGGAAATTATATGCATCTATCTATAATAATACATAATAATAATGTTAATATAGATAATCTATCTATACATACACTCACATAAATAAGTGTATATGTGTGTGTGTGTGTGTGTATGTATTTTGGCTAGGCAGTGGGGTTAAGTGATTTGCCTAGGGTCACACAGATACTAAGTGTTATGTGTCTAAGGCCGGATTTGAACTCAGGTCCTTTTGAATCCAGGGCCGGTGTGCTATCCACTGCGCCATCTAGCTGCCCCTACAAATAATTATATATAACAGGCTTCCCCAATACACAAACATAGATGAGAGCTTGTCCAAATATATATGTTTTTACGTATGTGAATATATGTGTACATTTATGTCTATACATACAATATATAGATGTCACTTTATGGTTTATAAAGTGATACAGATATATAGTCTATACCTATATCTCTCTGTATGCCTATAATCTATCTCATTTGTTCTACAAGATAACACTGTCAGGTAGATGCTATTATTATTCTCATGTTGAAGATGAGGAAACTGAAGCAAGGAGATGCTAACTGATTCCCTCAGAATTGTAGAGTCCACTAGTGGCAAGCTGAGTGCTCTTTCCACTGTTTTAAATAAACACAGAAACTGATTTTATGCAGTTTTGTACCTGAAATGTCTACACTAGCCTGTTAATATATGAAATGTTTGCTTTGATTTCAGGCAGAAGCAGACAATCTGATGAGCCTGCAGCCATTCAGAGATAAATGTGAGCCTGTTTTCCTCTTTAGTCTTGTAAGTATCACCCTAACATGTGCCATTGTCTCATCTAGTTCACACTCCCCCCCCCCCCCCCCCCCGGAAATTTAAACCATAGCCCAAAGGCAATAGTCGAATTCATTGATGATGACAGTTCTGCCCAGCACAATATCTGCTAGTCTCTAATCTCCTGGAGACCAGAGAGCACATGTGTCTTTGCCTAACATGTAGTGCCCCACCGGTAGCTAGGTGCCCAATAAACATTTCATAGAATCCTGAAATCCTAGAAGTTGGGGGGAATTACAAGGGCTAAGTAGTTGAATGGAAATCTCTTCTAAAACATCCCTAGCAAGTAACCATCCAGTTGGCATCCATGCTTGATGTCTTGCCATGTTGGGGAGCTCCCTGCTGCTGTGGGCAGCCACTCCACTTTTGGAAACCTTCTACTTGTTAGGAATTCTCCCCTATGTTGAGTTGGCATGAGTTTCCCTGTAATTTCTATGGTGTTGAATATGACAGTGAGGCCAGTTGTGATGTGACTGGCTTGTCTACAGCTCAGGATAAATTATTGTCAATCACAGAGGGAAAGTGTGGAGTGGTCTGATATAGCCAGATTATGGAAGGCTTTGAAAGTAGACAAAGGACTGTAAACTTGAGGAGCAAGGTCATAAGTGTTTTCAGAAAGCTTCATTAAAACAATCATTATTGATACCTTGTTTTCCTATCACTTTCACTGCTGAATCCATCCCTTTCCTCTCTGCTACCCAGTGAGCTGTCCCACACAGCTAAGAATAAAAAAAGGGGAGGGGAAGCAGTTCAGCAAAGTTTACCAACAGATCACCAAATCTGACTATGTGCAGTGCTTCCAATCTGCAGTCCCCAGCTCTCCCTGCCCCACCCCCGCACAGAAGAGAAAGGCATTTTTTTTTTCATCTCTCCTTTGAGGCCAAGATTTTCCATTGAAATCCAGAATGTTTCTCATTTGGTTTGAAATCTTAGGAGGTCTGTGTTTAGTGCCAGCCAACCAGATGTGCTTCCTTTGGGCCAGGCACTGAGCTGGGCCCTGGGGATGCAAACACACAGAATGAAACAATCCCTGTTTATGGGAAAAGACGTTTGAATGGGGGAGACTTATACACGCACAAGAAGCATTGATATAAAATGAATACATGGAAATAAATACAAACTAGTTAAATACAAAGTAGTTTGAAAGGGAAGTCACTAGTAGCTGGGGGTTGGATCAAGGAAGACTTCATGCAGAGCTGTTGCTGAAGTTGAATCTTAAAGGAAGAATGAACAAAAAAGCATTTATTAGCACTGCCTATGTGCCAGGCAGTGTGGTGATTGCTGGATATACAAATATCAGCAAGCAGGCTAGGCCCTGCCCTCAAAGAGCTTCCATTCTAATGGGGGGAGACAACACATAAAGAGGAACTAGAAAGGGTGCAGGCAGAGTGCAGGTGCTGTGGTTGGGAATTGCCAGGCAGTGTGTGTTAGCTTGGCTCTGGGGAATAGAATGTAAAGTCTCATCTCTCAAAGTCCCAGGGACACTCTGGGCTTTGGCAGCAGAGGGATGAGAAAGATGGCCAGAGTGTATGTGACATGGTTTGGAAACAGTGGAACAGGTCCTGTGAGCCAGAGGTGAGGAGGGAATGCATTCTAGATGGCCACCACCAGGGCATGCAAGTGGAGTATGGAGTGCTGTTGGAGGGGGAAAGAGAGAAAGTGATTATGGATGGATTACAGAAGGTGGGAAGTGAAGTCATGAATGATGAGCCTGAAAAGAGAGGATAGGGCCAGGCTCTGGAGGGCTTTAAAAGCAAAACAGAGACTTGCTGTTTTTATCCTGGAGTTTACTGAGTAAGGGAGTGATGTGATCAGACGTGCTTTCAGGAAATATCACTTTGGCTGCTCTGTGGAGGATGGACTGCTAAGGATGGAGGACCAAGAGGCCTAAGGGAGGGAGGCCAATTAAAAAGCTTTTGCAATAGTTTAGATGAGGGGATGATGAGAACATAAACCGAGGAAGTGTGGCTGTGTAAGTAGGTAATCATGGTAGGACAAAAGAGATGGGAGTAGAAATGACGGGATTTCCCAACCGCTGGATATGTGGGGTGAGGCAGAGCAAAGAATCTAGGATAATGGTGAAGTTGTGAACATGGGAGCCTGAAAGGATGGTGGGACCTTCAATAGGAATAGGGGAATTGGAATCTTGGAAGGTTTTGATGGGAGGTAATAATTAGTTGTGTTTTGGGCATGCTGAGTTTGTGATGACTTTGGACTATCTAGTTTGAAATATCCAATAGGCAGCTGCTATAGTGGGATTGTAAGCTCAGAGGAGAAATTGTGGATAATATAAATCTTTAAATAATCTGGCTAAGGATGGTAATTCAAAACACGGGAGCCAAGAGAGAAAGAGAGAGGAGGATCTAGGACAGAGCCTTGGGAAGCACTTCCAATTCTAAGGTGGGATATGGAGGACAAGCCTGCAAGGTCACTGAGAAGCTGTGATCAATCAGACAAACCTTGCTGGCTCATCATCCATTCCTGAAAAGTCAGAGGACATGGTCCAAAATGAGGGGGGGAAAGCTGAGGACTGAACACAAGACCATCAAGCTTGGCAATAAAGAGGTGGTTGTTAACCTCAGGGAGAGATACTTCAGTTTAGCAGTGAGAATAGAAGCCATAGGACCCAGAGGGAGTGAGAGGAGGTGGGGGGAGGAGGGGCAGTTTGTGTAGAAAGCTTTTTCTAGGAGTTTGCAAAAGGAGCTGTGAAAGAGAGGTGGGATGATTGCCTTAGGGGATGGTAGGATCTAGTGAAGGTTTTTTGTTTTGTTTGTTTTTAAGTCTAGAGAAGACTTAGCCCTGTTTGAAGGTCGAAGATAAGAAGTCAGTAAATAGGAAGGATTTGAAGATTGGGGGAGAGGTGATGAGAAGGGGTGGGAATTGTTAGAGAAGATGAGATGGAGTGGGGATCAAAGGCACGTGTTTGCCTTAGCCGGAAGTAGGGTGACCATATTATTAGAGATGGGGTGAAGGAAGAGAGAATAATGTCAAGGAGTTTTGAGATGAAGAGAAGGTTAGGAGAAAAAGAGTCTCATGAGGAATAATCTTATTTTCTCAGGAAAATTAGAGATATTTCCTGATGAAATAATGCTGCTGGGAACATCTAGGCCAGAGAGAATGCACCAACTTAGCCAGATAGTAGAGTCTACATCCCTAACCCTAGTCTGTCATTACCTGAGCTTCTGAGACTGTCCCATTCTTCCAAACTTCCCTATTTCAATTGAGGGCACTGCTATCCTCTCAGGAACCTGGGTTTGCAACCTCAGATTCATGCTTAACTCTGCCCTTCATGTCCCCCTTCACCCTCTACTGAGATGGTTAAAAAAAAAAGTTAAGAAATTCCAGGATATTAGGATTTACATTTTAGTAACTAATACATAAACATAGTTAAGGTAATTCACACAGTGAATACAGCTGTTGAAACTCATCACTTTTTTTCTTATGCAATGCTGACTTGACATGGCAAAGGACACTGACTGTGAATGTCTGCTGGCCAGGCAGAAATCCCCTTAGCATCCCTCTTTCTTGACCCCTGAGGAGTTTGCCCTGACTATGGATCTGGTCTGTTGGGGCTGAACTTTAACAGACTCCTAGGACCCTGTGGGAAAGGAGCTGAGAACACCCAAGAGTGGGGAAGTGAAGCTGCATAAGCAAGAGGCAGGGGAAGCAGCCACCATGAGTTTGGCAGCCTTGGTCTCCACTGGCTCCCACCCACCATTCCCCCTGACTTTGGTCCTGTTCTCCCTCAGCTGCATTCAGGACCACTGACTACAAGGTAATGTCTGAACTTGACTTGGAGTCCACACTTGGAGTGTATTCCCTCTGCCGTTTCACTTCTCAGTCCTGTTTTCTTTGAAAGCTCAATGTAGGTGCCACCTTCAAGGCTCAATTTTGATTTCTTCTCCTTGGTGAAGCTTTTTCTATTTTCTCCCTGTGGATCCATCCCCTCACCTCCACCCCAGGCATCAGTCCTCAGTATAATTTAATACTACAACCTTCCATTTAACTATCTATATACTTCTTGTAATTCTCTATCCCTTCCCAATAGATGTAAACTCCTTAGTGGTAGGGATGATTCTGTTTTTGATGTTCTACTTCTAGCACCTAACACAGTGTCTTGTATATCGTCAGAATTTTATTGATATTTTTTGAATTGGAGGGAAGATTCATCCAGTATTCCAAATTGGATTAAAAGTCTGAGCCAAGGTATTCAGAAAGGCATTTGCATAGTGTGTTTGGAGAGATAAAGGAGGCAAGGTTTCATGGCACTGAGGGTCAGCTTCATGGACTATTGACAGCCAGCTTTGTTTTTGTCAAAGCAAATTTCATTAATACCTTTTGGCTTTATATCACAGTTAGTTTTAAAAAAGCTCTCTTTTTCTGATCTTTAAATGGAATGCTTTCTTGTTAACAATGAAAGACATTTAGGGAAAAACAGCTCATACAGTGATGATATCTGGAACATTTTGCTCTAGTGATCTCCCATATCTCCATTGAAAAGGGGGGTATGTTTTATTAGTGATCATAATCTAATAGCTTACTTTAAAACACAAATTGTAATAGTGAAAAAAAAAACTGATAAAAGACAGTTACAATTGAAAAACTGGCCATGGAATTACACTGAGAATATGATTTTCTTTTTCCTCTTTTCTTTCAGAATGGCAGAATCATATCAATGGTTAAAGGTGCAAATGCACCATTGATAAGTGCTAAAGTGATTCAGCTAGTTGAAGATGAAAAGAAAATTTTAGCAGGGGAAATGTCCCGCCCAGTGGTAATTTACAAGAACAACTTGCTTTCTGCTTGTGATGATTTGAGACTATGGGATATTGAGATAGCTATCACTTCACCGATGTGGACACACTCTAATAACATAGTCCATCAACCACCAACCAATTAATAGGTGCCTTTTGCGTGCCAGGCACTGAGGATACATGTACAAGAATTCAATAGTACCTGCCCATAAGGGGTTTACAGTCTAACAGGGGAGACAACATATGTAGGTATAAACAAGACACATAAAAAACAAGCCCATGGTTGCCTCGACAGGGAAGATGCTAGCAGCCAAGGGACTCAGGAAACAAAGATGATGCTGCCTGCACTCCTTCTCATCCTGTGTCATTCTTGTCCATATTTTCCATAAGTCCTCCGTAAAGGGCTGCTTCAATGCACTGGAGACTTTATCCCAGTTTTCTAATAGAGCACGGGAAACAAGGAAGCACAAGAGCTCACAACTCTACCGAAGGATGTTTGCACTGAAGTACTCCAAAATGTTCATGAGGCAAATGACATGCCTTCAGTGGTGGCGAGTGGGAGACGGAGACCATCTTGGGGAAGGGAGAGAAGCAGTTATGTAGGAGAGGAGCTTACTCCATGTGGTAGCTTCCTATTTTAACTAATTATTCTTGCTAACAAGATCCCATGACTTGTTGTTTCTATGTTGCTGAAGGACCCTAAGTCCTATTGTACCGCCCCCCAAAATCTGTCAGCTAGGGGCAAAGCTCTGGTCACTTTACCCTAGTTACAGCTACGCTGGCTGCCTATGTCTCACTCTAGATGTATGCCTTCTCCCAAAGTCTTTCCCATAGCTTCTTTTTGTCCACAATTCATGATTAGTAATATTTGCCTATTGTTTAGCTAACGGTTGAACAAAACCATTGTAAATGATTTGCTACTTGAGGAGGGCGGGGGGGGGGGCTACCTGGCCAAAGGAATAATGAGTATCTTTCTTCCGGAAAAGTTTTTCAAAAGTTGCATTTGATTATGTTCATGGTAGAAAATGAAAGCAGGGATTATAGATGGAGAGTATTTATCATCCTCATCAAATCCCAACAGTTAGACCTTACTTACCATTAAAATCCATTGAGACTCTTTTGTTCTTTGCAGTCAATGAAAGTATCTCTGAGCCACAGTGCTTGGTGACAAAAGGCCAAAGGTACCTCGGTGTCCAAGGTGTTGTGTGGTATTTGGCATTCACGTCTCACCTCCCCTGCTTCCTAGCTGTGTGACCTTGGGCAACTCACTGCTTAAATCCTCTGGGCCTCAGTTTACTCATCTGTAAAAATGGAGGGCTTGTGCTAAGGTCCTCTCCAACTTTATTTCTATCTCTGATCCTAGAATTTTAGTTTTATTAGATAACCTTAATCCATTCCTAGGACTTCTTGAAAAAAATCCACTTGGATGATAGATTTATTTTGTCAATTATGGATCAAAAGTGATTTATTTAAAACCAAACTGCTGTGACATCAATTTGTTCTCTATTTAAGAGGTAGGACATATTTCTTTTTCTTATTTTGGGCTAGGCAATGGGGTTAAGTGACTTGTCCAGGATCACGCAACTAGTAAGTATTATGTGTCTGAGGCTGGATTTGAACTCAGGTCCTCCTCACTTCAGGACTGATGTTCTATCCACTGTGCCACCTAGCTACCCCGCTAGAATGTATTTCTAAAGAACTAAAGGTGAACTTCGCCAAGACGGGGATGGAGAGGGAAGGGGAACATTAGTCACAAGCAGCTACGTCCAATCACACACAAGGAGCTGGGCAGGAGAAGCTGGGTCATGGGGGTCATGAGAGAAATATGTTGTTGGACTGGTCATGATGCAAGAGTGAGGCAGAATTGAGGGTTACCTCATGTGCTCCAGCAGTGGCCATGACACGTTGAGAGAGCTAGGGGAAGGTCACCACTAGCGTGTGGACCCTTTACAGTTGATCTATAGGCGCTCATAGTCCTTACCTCTTCCTTCCAGGAGCTCTTTCACATGTTCCCCAGCTGTCGGTGCCTTCACCTCTAAGATTACCTTACATCTAATCTGTAAATATTTGTATATGCTTATTTATGTGCTGGTTATCTCCCTCATTAGAATATAAGGTCCTTGAGGGCAGGAATTGCTTTTCCCTTTTTTTTTTTGTATTTTGTGTATCCCCAGCACTTAGCATAGTGCCTAGTTCACCGTAAATACTTAATAAATGTTTATTGATTGACTGAAGATTCATGCAGGTTACACAGACATGGATGGAGGATAATCTGCATCATGGGAGTACATGCCCACATCGATGAGATCACAGACCCATTTGAATATTGAAATATAAAGGGCTGTCACACAATGGTTTGAAATGATGTTTTTCTGATTATAAGAGTTTGGGCAAGTTTTTGCTCATTTGTATTTCTTCTTTTGAATATTCCTTGTTCAGATTATTTACTTACTTATTATATAGAGGTGGGGTGGGGTAAGATAGACTGTACATTTACAAATTTGTGCCACTTCTTTATGGGTTTGGATGTCAGATTTATTTTCATTTACACAGTAACACCAAAGTCTTCTCTCTGTGCCACACATTGTGTGGAGGAGAGGTAGGATTTTCAAAGGTTCTGCCCCAATAGTACCAACTCAGGCAGGTTCTCCCAAGTTGGAAAAGTTTTGAGGACAGTCCCAATGACAGACTGTGGCTGTACTCCAAGGGCGTGGATAGCTGGGTTCCAAGAACATTATCACCAGTAGCTGGCCACTCAGTGGTAAATTTTTTGGTCACGGAGCTCTGTGAATCACAAATGCAGAGTGCCCTCACTCCTCTCTGACCCTTTTCTGCTCCTGCAGGGAGGGACAGGGTCAGAGCCATGGAAAAGGGCTGAGACAAAGAATCCACAGTTGTAGACTTTATAAACATTAATTTAACTCTTCATATACTAAATGTGAGATCCAAGAGTCAGAGTTCTAGGGCTGGAAGATACCTGAGAGGTCAATTAGCTCCACTGCTTCATTTTACAGATGAGGAAACTAAGTGTAAGCAGTATGCTCAAGGTTCTATAGGTAGTTGGGGAGTGGAGCCAATATTTAACCCCAGTGCCTCTAAATCCAAAGCCAAATTTATTTTCAATAATGATAATAATAACTAATATTTATAGAGCACTTACTCTCTACCAGGCCCTATGCTAAGTTCTTTACAGTCATTATCTCATTTGATCCTCACAACAGCCCTGGGAGGGAGGTGCTATTATTATTCTCATTTTACAGATGAGGAAACTGAGGTTAACAGATGTTAAGTGACTTGCCCAGGTCACATGGCTAGTAGATGTCTAAGTGTGGATCTGAACCCAGGCCCGGTGTTCTACCCACTGTACCACCTGGCTGCCCCCATTTTCCATAATGACCAGCATGTCAACCGATGACTGGAGTAGCTGCAACAATGGAGCTTCAGCTAGGGTCCTGAGGCCTTCACGTAACTGTCGCCGGAAGTCTCACTTTCTAGGCTTCTCCAAGTGAGAAGGATCCCACTGCTCTCGAGGCAATCCACTTCAGCTGAGCCTAGTCTCATCGTTAGGAAGGCTTTCTTCACTTCTGGCCTAAGTGGATGTCTTTACAACTCCTAGCCTTCACTCCTAGTTCTTTCCCATTGGGATGAGCAAAACAAGGCTAATCCCTCCTTTGCCTCTTGCTATAAACAAAAGTAAGAGAAAAGAATGTTCTAGCTCAGGGGAAGGATGCCTCACAATTTCCTCTTGGAGAGGTGATTAAAGGAGTTGGCAGAGCTGGCTTTATCGTGCCTCCAAAGACAACCCGAAATGCCATTTCATAGGATATTTGATCATCTTTTCTTACAGTGCTTTTGATGAACATTGTCAAAAAGAGCAGCTGAAGATCACTGCAGCTTGTGGGCTAGTTTTGTTGTTGTTGTTGAGGATGAGGAAGTAGAGAAATCCTACAAAGACCTTATAAGAGCCTCCAGATTAAAACAACATATACTTTTGTATGTGGTGGCAAATGTGAAAGTAGGCATAGGGGAAGGTGACAAAGATGTGGCAATACAAGGTTCAGGAGCAAAAGTCAAGATGGGTAAAAGGCTTGTGGTCAGTACCAAACCCTATAGTCACCATTCATGAATGCTTGGTTCACAGAGTTGTTAGATGTTGGACATGATGAGAACCAACAATGTAATAGAAAAAAATGAAATTTGTTACCTTTTAATAAGTGGGAAATAATTAGTTACTTATTTTTGAGATATTTTCAAGTTAGCCATCTGTATCCGGTCTGACATAAACACAACAGTGAAAAGATAAAAATTATATTAAATCAGAAGACTGAATAAAAATGAGAAGACTTGGTACCCAATTGAGAAAGCTCCGACCTGTGCTATTCAAACAACATGTTGACAATGAAAAATGGAAAGTGGATAAAAGAAAAGTTAATGAAACAGACTATTAACATTTTCTAAGGAATTTTAATGACTACAGATCATTGTTGCTTCCTCCCTCCTGAGCAGCTGGTAAATCTGGTGTCTTCAGGCTTTCTTCCTCTGTACATTGGCCATCCCATAGACAGCTCTGCTGTTTACTCCATGTAGAAGATTTACCAGTCATGTCTCTTTGCTACTGGTATCTTTAAGACTGATAAAAATCTTGAAAAGAAAGCTTAACTTTGCTGAGAAGTCACTTTGGGGATGTAACCATGTATCTCAATGTTTTGTAGGGCATATTCCTACTTTTTTATTGTGTTTAGAAAAAAATCCTGTGTAATCAGAATTAGGACTTTTTGATGTGTAATATCTTCCCCCAAGGAAAAGATCACCTTCATGTCATTGTCATGTAGGTGATTGTCTGGATTATTTGAATTTGGGTTCATCCCTGGTTGGCATCCTATAAATTCTGGTGATTTGAGATATGTCCCTTGTTCTTGGGAAATATGAAGTGGTCAAGTTCATTTCAGGTCATATTTTCTTTTACAATCCAGATGATGCTTATGTTCAAAAAATATCATTGTAAGTTTTCCATGTCTGTTTCCAGTTGATAATGCTGTGTGCTCATTTTCTTTTTCTGTTGCTTCTGCAGTTCTAGCATTCAGAGATAGGATTCTGGTTTCCATTGAGAGTATTATTTTCATGCACCTAGAACTGAAAGAGACAAAGAAAACAAGACCAACCACCCCAAGCCCATTTCTCAGGACCATAGGACCTCAGGGGAAGGGAAGATGGCCCTTCCCCACCCAGCTTAGTGCATGGTGACCCTGGTGTGGATGAATGAGTCCTTCACCTCTGGATATCACCTGAAAGAGAAAGGCTGTGCCTTGGATAGATTTAAAGTCACAGTTCACAGGAAGAGGCTATTCTCACCCACATGGAAGACTTGTGCTGCATGCATGTCCCTGAAGCAGGCTCCTCATGATAGATGCTTCCATCTTATATGATTTGGGCATATGCTTCAGTCCCATTATATTTGTGTCCCCAGCACTTAGCACAGAGCCTTGCACATAGTAGGTGCTTTATAAATGCTTATTAACTTAACATTCATTCCATACTCACATTTGGTACGTTCCTCATTCTTCCCCTCCCTAGCACACTGTTCCTTGTAAGAAAAATTAAAAAAGGAAGAGAAAAAAACATCAGCCAAGCAAAACTAACTGTCACATGGGCTGTATCTGTTAGTTCATGTAATGTCCCAACCCTGTAGTCCCCCACCTCTGCAATGAAATGAAATGAGGTTCATTTTCTCAAATTTTATCTTAGAACAATTTTGGCCATTATAATTACACAAGATTCTGGGTTTAAAAAAATTTTTTATATTAAATTGCTATAAGTCATTGTATACATCATTTTCTTTATTCTAGTAGCTCGATTTAAGTTATTGATCAGCAAATCAGTCATTATTCTCTACTTCTATTTCTTCCCTTCTCCCATAGCTTCCTGAATTAGTACTACTGGATTCAGATGTAGATGAAGATGCGGTTGAAACTCCAGAAGCACCTGTGGGCAAGTAATAATTATATAAATTAAGTGGGAAGTGCTAAACTGAAGTGACATGGCTCTTGAGTGTAATCATGTGATTCTCCCAACCACAAAAATCTTCCTCATGGCATAGAAGTTCCTCTAGATTCTTGAGCAGAGCCTGAATTCTGGCAGGTCTGACTCATTTGAAGAGTCTTCGGGTATGGTCCTAGTGGCAGCTGGAATCTGTGGTCTGAGGGTCCCTCTCCCTATGGAGGGGGAGATTGACCATCAGATGGTCAATCACCAGATGATGGATTCTTTGGCTGTGGTAACTCACAAAACACAGAATCCCTTCAGCTTGTCATTCTGACATAAGCATGGCTTATGAAATTCTAAAAAAAATTCAAGGGTCTGGAGTCACCAGCTCCAAAAGGTTAAGGGCATCTTTGATCTTCCCTTATATTATTCTTTAGTCCTTCTTATTCGTTAGTGTTTCTTAAAAAGAGAGGCGATGACAGTTTTCTCTGTGTGCTTGGATCACTTAGTCACATTTAAACTTCCCAAATGAGAAATCCATCCTTCCCTCTACTTAATTTTTAGGGTAAACAGGCCATCTCTGATCTTCTTGTGACTTGTGTCTCCCATTAGTATATCATCTTTAGTATTTCTAAAGAAGAGAGTCACATGGTGGATAGTAGATGGAGTGATGGAATTGGACTCAAGAAGACCTGAGTCTGAATTCCACCTTCTACATTTAATTAGCTTTGTAATTAAGGGCAAATCACTGAATCCCTCTGAATTTCAGTTTCTTCATCTGTAAAATAGAGGTAAATATCTGTAGTGCCTCCCTCACAAAGGATGTCATGAAGTTCAAGTGAAATAATATATGTTGAGCACTTTGCAAATGTTAAAGAGCTTTGTAATTGCTCTGACTCTTACTCTTAAAGACCTGCAATTGCTTCTGTGTGGGCCACTCCCTCCGCAGACTTGGATAACAATCCCTCTAGGTCTTAGGAGATAATCTTCCCAAACTTCTGGGAAATGCAAGACAAGTACAGAAACAATTTGGTCATCCTGAGGCCAGCATTCTGGGTGGCTGGGGTCAGGAGGAGTATAGGGGAGATTCTCCAGGCTTGCCTCAGCTGCTATTTGGATATCTTTGCCCATTCTCAACATCCTGGCAGAATCTGCCAGAGCACATCCTCCTTTGAAGGACCACCTCCTGGCACTGGAGGTGGTGATTTCACAGTGATCTCAGTTCAACACTTCAACACAGCACTTTCAGTTCTTACTACATGAAAGGGCATGTGGAGGCCCTACCTATATGATGATTGTGAGCTAGCCTGACGTATGCAAAGTCAGTGATGTCTCTTTGAAGTTGGGCAGAACACCTTTTAAGGAGTTGGAATGAGTTATTGAGTCTACTGGAAGAGGAGCAGACACTTGCTGGCACTGTTTTCTTACCTATTTGCATGATAATCTATTGGAATCCTCTAGGCATTGGACATAGAGCATCCAGATACAAATAAATATACAATGTCTTCATGCGGGCTAGTGGGGGAAACTATTATATATCATTGACAAAAAAAAAAAGCAAGCAAGCAATGCCCACCAAAAATCACTAAACACAGGGACTATATTAGGGAAAGTATCCCAGGGCAGAACCAACGTGCAAATATATCGCAAATAACCTTTATTCAATGAAAATAGAATCTTCAATGAAGAATTCTAAAGATCTAATATGCACATTTATGATAATTATTTCTGGAAAGAGGATTGTGGTAGACTAATAACTTCCTTGGACACAAGGCCACAAGCACTTCCCAAGTTGTGTGTGTGTGTGTGTGTGTGTGTGTGTGTGTGTGTGTGAGAGTGAGAGAGACAGAGAGAGAGACACACACACAGACAGACAGAGACAGAGAGAAACTGATAGATAGGCACACAGACACAAAGACATAAGGAGAGAGTGAGAGACAGCTGACAGGAGAGAGCTGAGGGAAAGGTGGAAAGTGAGGCTGGGAGGAGAATGACGAGGCTATTCTTTCACAACCAGAAGGGAAACAGAGAGAAAGGTCAAGAGTCAAGAATACAGCAGACCAGAGCTAAGTGCCGCCTCCCCCTTTCCAAATTAACAACAAACCACTTGAGGTGTCCTGGCTATGTGTCTTGCCACTTACTACTTGAGTGACTTTTGGCAAGTCATTCAACCTCTCTAGGCCTCAGTTTCCTCATCTGTAAAATGAGAGATTTGGACCAGATGACTTCTAAGGTCTCTTCTCTTCTTATCCTGAGAGATAAGGCTGTTCTTCAGTTTCTGCTCCAAGTTGAGAAAATATCTCTGTCTCTGTCAACAGAAGAGTCAGTTAAGAATCCATAATAATAACAATAGCTAACATTTGGATAGTGCCCCAAAGTTTGCAGAGTAACTTATGCACATACATAAGCTTATTTGATCCCCCAACAATAATAGCAGGTGCTATTATTCCCATTTTACAGATGAGGAAACCAAAGTTGGCTGGGGTAAAGTGACTTGCCCAGGGTGACATAGCTAGGACATGTCCCAGGAAGGCTTCAAGATGAGGTCTTCCTGACTGTAATCAAGGAGGTAGGGACAACTCCATTCACAATAATGGCGAGCTTTTTCTACAGTCCATTCCATTGAGAACCAAAGTTTTGTATCAAGAGGATTCTGACCTCTTCACAAGACAGTGTTGTCACCTCTCTCCTGTGACTCACTTGAGGACCACTGCTGTCCTGGCTAGAAAGAGGTTAGGAAGACTGGGGGATTAATTTATAATTTGGTCCCATTCAAACAGCTTGAAGACATTGGGGGACAAGTTCAATATTGGCAAGGATGGTGAAACTAAGAAGACCTTGTTAAAATGGTACAATCAGATACAAAGGTGGCTAACTGATGTGTTCATTAGAAGTTAGGCGTTTACATTTTAGCACAAAACCCCTCATTCGTTATTTTGTAAGAAAAACCAATTTATTTTTATCCTAGAGGATATATACAATGTAATGATAATAAGACCACAAGCTGTGGAAGAGGAAAGAGTAGAAGAAATTGAACAAATGGTGAGTAACATTTTAAAAACCAAACAAACCAAAAAAACAACCTACCATCAAGTTCACATGAATGTCAAAAGGGTGAGGCTTTTCTTATTGATCTACTTAAAGGGAGAAATGCTTCTAGTACCAGAAGGTAAACTTCAGCTAGAAATTAGTCTTGTGGAGTCCAGGTCAATGCCCTATTGATCTTTGCTTACACCTCCTTGTCCAGTTATTATTGTCTTTGGAAGAGTCAAAGAAAAGGGGGAAAGGAAGAGTGGGAAGGAAGAATAGGAGTGAGGGAGGAGAAGGAAAGAAGGTTGAAAGGAAGGAAATGAGAAACAAAAGAGGAATAGAAGAAAGAATCAGAGAGAGTAAAGGAAAGATTGAGGGAGGGAAATGAGGAAGAAAAATGACAGGGAAATGAGAAAGAAAAAAGAGGAAAGAGTCAGAGGGAGGAAAGGAAAAATTGAGGGAGTGAAAGAGGGACAAAAGGAAGCAGAAGAGAAGGAAAGAGGAAGGAAATGGGGAAGGAATGATGAAGGGAAAAGAGAGGGATGGAGGAAGGAAGGGAGAAAGAAATATTCTTTCATAGATGGGCTATACGTGTCTTTAACAGGGCATTGGAAGTGCAGATCCATTATTAGAGCAAGTCTTCAGTTGGAGAGGAAGTCTCATTCCAGGCAAGGGGAGGGTTGCAAGGGAAAGCCAGGTCCAGCAAAGGAGTCATGAAGATATCCTTGTGATACTGGAATTTTAGTGGTCAGGGTGGTCTTCACTAAGCAAGAGGTGGAGTGGATGCCAGAAAGGCAGAGATAGGCAACAGATTCTGGCTGGGGAAATTTGTGATATGCCAACCAGAAATAGAAAAGGTAGGGAGAAAGAGATAGAGAGATATAGAGACAGAAACAGGAGAGACACACAGACACTGCCAGGAACCTCAGAGATCACGAACTAGAGATTGAAAGGTGTAGCCTGAAGTCCAAGGAGGAACCTGTCATGCTCCTGATCTCTTGGGCCTGAATCCAAGAAATTGCCCAAAGCCCTGGGCCTAGATGGTGCGGTATATTACATGCCCTGAGGGGGAAGGGCAAATGCTAGGTCCTGGCCTTGAGTCCTTTATTCCAGATTCCTGCCTTTCTTACCTAGATGTGCTTAGGGCTTTGTGCCACCTCACACATGTGGAATGCAGATCAGTGAGAACAGTGAGCAGTAGGAAAAGTCTTACCCAGCCTCAAATCCAGCCAGTTGTCTTGGTGGCACAGATAATGTTTTATAATGATAATAGACCCAAAGTATGAGATGAACTGGGTGCCACAAAGGGTAGCAAGGTGAGGAGATTGGGACCAGAGAGCTCCCCTAGGCTAACCACCCCATTTTACAGATACATGAGAAAACTGAGACCAAGGGGTATTAAATAAGTCAACCGAGATCACTTGTAGCATCACAAATCCAAGGCCAAAATCGACCTTAGAGGCCATCTGGTTTTCTATGGCTTTTCTTTCAGCTACTTTGTGCATTAAATAAGTATTTGTCACCTGCCCTGGGAATCTAATCATTGTTTACAACATTATTTCTATGGGAAAATGTGCCCAGACATTCCAAGTAACCAACTTAAAAGAGTAACACGTAAATTGACCTCCTAGGAGGCTGATAATCTCTTGTCAGCGCCTCCAGCGTCAATGGAATACATCTTTCTGTACCTCTAAATAATGCTTTTGAAAGCTCAAAGGAATAGGGCACAGAGAAAGGCCTCCCTATTTGTATATTTAAAGGAGCTTAAGAGGTGTAGTTTTTATAGGAAATGAAATCTACTCCAAATGGTCTGTTAAACACTGGAGAGTAACATGAGTGATTTCTTTTTTCTGTTGCCCATCAATGCTTCTGAAACGTACCACGAATTTATAATTGGAGATTGTGGATTTTGGTGCTGTCATAGTAGGAGAGGAGCAGAGGTTCTTAGATGATGAGCAAATTAGAGATTTTTATGATGAGGCTTCACATAAGGTAAGCAACGTCTAAGGAAATGATTGTCTTTGTCAAATGTCGTGGAATTTAAATATTCTTGGTATTTGTCTTAGAGAAAATTTCTATTACTATATGTAGCATCCCTTCTGGCTACTTTTATAGTGAGTGGCTACTACTCTCAGATTCAAAGGTGTACTCACTGGGTCTTCACTCCTAAAACTATAATTCACGGGCCCCTACCAATGAACTTTGCCATCACAGTCAGCTGGTAGACATGATTGACCCAAAACAAAGACATTTACTAAAACAGAATAGAGCAGTAGCTAGAAAGCATTCCCCTCATAAGCCTTGGGTGCCATCTCCCAGAAATACATTCAGTGTACGTGGGAAGAGTGGGCACAAATTTCAAGAACAGTGACAGTGAGCGAGACTCACATATATGGAATACATGTGTCCAAGGCAGCTCATACTTATTGTACTGCAGGGCCTTGGGGTCCTTTCTCTTTTTGTGAAGTCTTCTCTGTGGCTATACTCTCAGTTGCCCATTCTTCCTTCAAGTCACATTTGTCTCTCTTCTTTGCTGCCAGGCATGACATTCCTTGAAGCTGTTATTCATCCCAAGTGACTATTAGCTATCTGTGTCATCAACTCATTATTTCCTGTTGCTAGATCTCCGCCTGGAGTTGGAGGCTAAGAGTCATCTGATTACAGGACAAGAACCCCATGCCCTCACAGATAGGAATGCTGATTTTTGTCGAGGGCATCACTATCCACCCCATCACCCAGGCTGGGGGCTCTTCCTTCTCCCTCAACCCCCTGAATCCAGTCAGTTGCCAAATGTTGCTGATTCTACTATCAGAGCTTTCGCATTTGTCCCCATTTCTCTATTTATTTCTGCATTCACTATCCTAGTTCAGGTCCTCACCACCTTTCTCTTACACTATAGACTCCTAACTGCTTTTCCTGATTCTAGACTTTCTCCTCTCTAATCCATGAAGTGGATACAAAGCTGACAAAATCGTTGTTCCTAAGACACAGGTCTGGCCATGTTACTTCTGTGTTTAAAACCTTCCATGGATCCCTCTTACCTCTAGTATATGATGCGAACCTCTCAGCCTGACATTTACAAGCTTTCCCAATCTGATTCCAACCTCGGTCCAGCTTCAATTCTTATGACTCCCTTTCAAGCATTCTATATGATGCAATATCTCCCTTTCCTAGCAGTCACACAGACTATCTCCTATTCCTTGGTGTACTCCTTCCTCATCTCCACTTCTCAAATCTACTTATCTTTCTTTTTCTTTGTTTGACAAAACCATACATTATTTTTTATTCTTTTTAAATCTACTTATCTTTCTTTTTGGTTGTGCATAGGTGCAACCTCTTCTATAATCCCCAGTTATTAGTGATCTCTTCTCAAATCACCCCGTACTGACTTGTCCATGTACGTGTTGCAGTGGAGTATAAACTCCTTGAGGGCAGGGATTCTCTTAATGATCTTTGTGTGGCAGAGACTCTGCTCTCTTCTCTTTCATCACCCTCCTCCTCTTCTTCTGGGTATGCTCCAGCTTTTCCATATTCTTCCTGGAATCTGGTACCTAGAGCTGACTATGATACTCCAGATGTAATCTTCCCAAGGCAGAGCATGGTGAGACTAAGGCCTTTCTCATTCTGGAGCCCGTGCTTTTGTTAATGCTGCCCAACATTGCCTTGGCTTCCCAGGCTGTCATATGACATCACTAACTCTTAGTGAACTTGGAACCCACACAGATTTGAGTCTTTTTCATGTGAACATTGTTCAGTCATGCTTTTCTCATTTTGTACTTATGTGATTGATTTTTTTGAGCCCATGAATAGAAATTTAGACTTTTAAAAATTAAATTTCATCTAACTTCTTTCAGCCCATGTTTCTATAGCCCAGTGAGATGATTTGGATCTCAAATCTTTGTCCAATATATGTTTTTTTCCCCACTCAGCTTTTTGTTATTCCCATATGTGATAAGCATTCCATTATGACTTCTTCTGAGTTATTACTGTATCTCTCTTTCACTACATGGGATATTTTCCCTTCTCCCTTATATTTCTGAACTCAGCAAGAATGTCTCAGAATTGCAGAAGGGAGAAGTTAGAAGGGACCTCAGAGGTATATCATCTAATCCTTTTCTGTACAAGAATTCCCCCTACAATATCCTCACCAAATGGTCACCCAGCATTTGCTTAAAGACCTACAGAGAAGGGAAACCTATTACCTTCCGAGGGAGCAATTTCACTTTTGGTCACCTCTCATTGTCAGGAAGTTTTTCCTGACTGTGAGGCCAAAATCTGACTTGTTATCACTTTTCCACACTTCTCCTAGTACTCCTCTTTGGCCAAGCAGAACAAATCTAATCCTTCTTCCCCATGACATCCCTTCCAATTCTTGAAGACAGCCATCACGCAATCCCTTCCTCCCAAGCCTTTTTTCTTATTCAGGCTAAATATTTATTCCTTCAGTTAACTCCTTTTATGGCCCTCCACTGTCTTCTTCAGAATTCTTGTGTCCTATCATAGGGGAAAAGTAACAGAGGAAAGAAGGGGTAATGGGAAGAATCCTGGGTCAGAAGTTTTAGTCTTGATTCTGCCATGGTTAAATCCCTTCTAATCTAGAGGCCTCAGTTTACTTACCTGTAAAGTGAAGGGTTTGAACTAGCTTATTTCCAAGGTCCCTTCCAACTATATTGTTCTACAATTCACAGGTTTTCCCATCTGTTTAGGAAGCATAAGACATTTTCACCCTTGGCATTCCCTAGCAAAATATCATCACAGGGCAAATATTTTTCACCTGTGAAGTTAACTGTAATGGGATCATTAATTTCCGATGATTGCAGGAAGCAGCTCTTCTACAATAAATCACTGAGATTTGGTTTCTTTGTAGTTTAATTTTGAAGAATTTGTCTCATATACATCAAATAACCCAAGCTATATTCTGGGCATTTGCCTGGGACCACCTGTAAAAGAAAGTGAAGAAGAAAAAAAAAAGGATCAGCCAGAGGAAAAAGAAAGTCAACCAGTGGAAAAAGAGGATCGAGCAGAAGGAGATGAGGATCAATCAGCAGAAGAAGGAGATCAATCAGCAGAAGAACCGAAAAAGAAAGAAGAGAAGAAGCCAAAAAGGTATGATGAACTTGGGAAAACGATCCCTCTCTCCATTTGGCCTCCTCCTAATAATTACTAAGTCACAGAGGCTCGTGTTAGATATTGTTCCAATTTACATCTTCAGCTAAATTTTAAAATGTCTCATAGCCTTCAGTTAAATCAAAAGCGTGGGCACACTCAAGCCTTTTCTTACTCTAAAGACTCATATACTCAAGGAGCTAGAGAGGAGCCCAGAGGGTTATGGGCCTGAGAGCATGGACTCTTTCTGGTCTTATTTGGGACTGGTTCAAGGGTCAAGGTGAGGAACCAACACAGGCTGAGCTGTGCTCTAGCCATGTGAGAATTTGGCTCTTCTGTGAGCTCAGGCTCTTTCCTCTCCTTTCTCCTCTCCTCCTGAGCCCGGAGAGCTTGCCAATGGCAAATGTAAGGGACTTTTCCTTTTTGTAAGGGCATGAGCTGAACTGACTCGGAAGTACAGAGGACTGATCAGAAGAGGTCCCTGATCAACTTCACGAGGGCAAAGGAGAGTTGTGCCCTAACGGAAGTGAGGGAATAAGCGGGCGCACTTCCTCGTGCCTCATTCGTTACAAGTTTTGAGTCTTCCCAATGGGGACTGGCTGTCCTGGGGTTGGAGCCATAGCTTTGAGCCAGGCTGCTAAAAGGGAGCCGTGAGATATGAGTTGGTTGTCATCTCAGAAACCTTGAGAGGTTAGAGCACAGAACAGAGGGTCGAAGAGTGCATGCCCATTTCTGTCTGAGGTGGGATGCCATTAATAGCACCGAAAGACACTGAGGGAGCCTTTCAATCATGTGACTTCAAGCAAGGATGAAACCATATGACCAGATTGGGGTGTGTGTGTGTGTGTGTGTGTGTTGTGTGAGTGTGAGTGTGTGTGTGTGGTGTGTGTGTGTGTGTGTGTGTGTGTGTGTGTGTGTGTGAGTGTGCAGGTGTGGGGGTGGTTTCTGGACATTGGAGTTCTTAGAGAGCCTAGGGACATAACCTTCTAAAAAGGTGGGGGGGGGCGCTCCTGAATAGTGTTAACCTCTGGGGGAGAAGAGAATTACTGCTCGGGAACTGGAGGAGCAACAAGGAGTTGAGCCACAGTTGGAGGATGAGAAAAAAACCAGCCTTCCCCAAACTGCGAACAACCCCCCCATCTCTATTAACTGTGAATTATTTGGATGGTTCGGTTATAATGGAAAGGAGATTGCCTCTGCGTAACCTCAGACTCCAGAGCTCTGGGACCTAGCCTTTCAGAAGGAGAAGGGAGTCACTTGTAGTGCCGTCCTCTGAGGTAGAAGGGGTTCATGCAGGTGGGCCTCAAAGGGAGAGCAAAATGCCTGAACTTTGTCCTCTGAAGCAACATGAGGGATTTGGACAGCGCGGGGTTCACGGCAAAGGAGTCGCCTCTGTAGCATCCCTAGTGCGTATTCTTTCTGAGACAGCCTGATTTGCTGGGTGGTGGTAAGACTCCCGAGGACTGGAGGACCCTCGTGAAGACAGACTCGCTGCTCAATGAGGGGCTATATCTCTAGCAACCCCAGATTCAGTTCCTTCCAGGAAGAGTCTAAGCCTTTGGGGCTAAGGGGAATGTGATGAAGCCTGACTATTGTCTTTCTCCTGAGGGGAGCCCAAACCACAGGGTGATGCTGTGAGTCTGCAGGGGAGAAAGTGGGACTCACTGGAAAGGGGAGGAAAATTATATTGACTTTTTTGGCAGTTGGGTGGCACAACAGATGGAGGACTAGACCTAGAGACAGGAAAACTTGAGTTCAAATCTAGTCACAGACACTTTCTACCTATAGCCTTGGGCAAGTCACCTAATCTCTATCTGTCTCAGTTTCCTCATCTATAAAATGGGGATAATAATAGTACCCACCTCCCAGGATGGTTGTGAGGATCAAATGAGATCACATTTATAAAGTGCTTTACATTTTCGATGTTGTTCAGTTGTTTCAGTCATGTCTGACTCTTTGCCATCCCATTTGGGGTCTTCTTGGCAAAGATACCGGCCGGGTTTGCCACTTCATGCCTCAGTTCATTTTACAGATGAGGAACTGAGGCAAACAGGGTTAAGTGACTTTTCCAGGGTCACACAGCTAGGAAGTATCTGAGGCCAAATTTGAACTCAGGAAGATGAGTCTTCTTGACTCCAGGCCTGGTGCTGTTGCCAGCTAGCTGCCCTTGTACTTTGGGGATATTTGTTATTATTATTCAATGTGAATTCTTTGTGTTGTTTTATATTTGATATGTGGTGAAGCAAAGGTTGTCCTGTACCTGATGTACGTTATTACCTTCAGTGCTTGCATAGTACTGGTGAATCATTTACCCATATTGGTGGAGACCTAGGCAGAAGCTAGGTGGTACCCTGGATAGAGCGCTGGGCTTGCAATCATGAAGACTCATTCCTGAATTTGAATCTGGCCTCAGACACTTAACTAGCTGTGTGACCCTGAGTGAGTCACTTTGCCCTGTTTGCCTCAGTTTTCTCATCTGTGAAATGAGCTGGAGAAGGAAATGGCAAGCCACTCCAGTATCTCTGCCAAGAAAGTTCCCCCCCCTTCAAAAGAGGTCACGAAGAGTCAGACATGACTGAAATGACTAAACAACAATGCCTGTTATGGGCTTCCCAGAGGAATCTCGGGGGGCGGGGGACAACATGATCCAAAGAAGACCAAAAGCAAGAGTTACTGAAAGAGAGCAAGGCACAGAAAATTCAGTACAGACTTTGTCAGTGTGAGCACTCCCTCTATGGACAGAGATACAACCCACTCCACAGCTCAGGAGATGGTCTTTGAGAGGTGGTCAAAGGTTTCCTCTTCTAAAAAAAAAAAGAAAGAAAAAAGAAAAGATTTCCTCTTCTAAGGCTGCCCTGGAGGTCTGTCAGGCTCTGAGTCTAGCCAGGCACCCAGGCCACCCCCAAGAGCATGCTCAGAGACTTTGGAGCCCTGTGGAACGGCCCAGAGATTGCCTTCCATTTGCATGGTCTCCTCCACGCCACAGAGAGGCATCAGGAGGATGATGTCCAGAGAGAACATTGGAATGATCAGTAATTTCATGATGTACCTGATTTTCCATGTGCGTGTTCTCTAATTCCCATCCAAGCAGAGTATTGTTATGCAGGTGAGGCATTTTATCTCAGTACCTAGTCAAAATTTAACATAATAAGTATCTGAAACAGATGATCAGAAAGCATGTTACTTAACTCATCACATTTAATTAGGAGGCAGCTAGGTGGGGCAGTTGAAAGAGATTCATGTCTGGAGTCAAGAAGACCTGAGTACAAATCTGGCCCCAGACACTTTTTTTTTAATTTGGTTTTTTTTTTATTGTGTATTTTCCTGTTTTCCCAGATTTTAAGTGTATAGTACAATTTTTTGTAAAATAATTTGAATCTGGATGCAACTTACAAAAACAAAACAGAGAGAGGAGGGAAGTCTTAGACTGAACACAAAAAATGAAGGATGGAAGTTTACAGACGTGTCTAATAATGTGGGAATTGAGTGAACCCCTCTGACTCCATCTTGTGACTCAATTATGGATCTACTTCAGTTCCCTTTCTGTTCAATTCTGGGGCTAGTCCAATTTCTGTCATGTGAGAAAACTTTATTGCATTGTTTGAACCCAGCCCTGAGTGGCTGGGAACCCAGACCATCTCTACCTGTTGTCTGGAGAATCTTAACTAAGGACCCAGGTTACTAGAACCTCAGACACTTTCTAGCTGACTATGTATGAACTCACTACAACTTGGCCAAGCTTGGAGAGCCTATCAGACCTTCACATTAGCCTTAGGAGGGGAAATCTTTGGCCAACTCTCAAAGACCATCTCCTGACGTGTAAACGCGTTTGTGTCATTGTCAGTGGAGGAAGTGCTCACACTGACAAAGTCTGTACATAAGTTAAGTGACTCTAAGCAAATCATAGTGCCTGGCATGTACTAGGTGCTTAATAAATGCTTGTTATTCGATTGGGATTAGTTTTCTCATCTGCAAAATGAGGGGTTCCATATGACGTATGAGATCCTTTCCAACTCTAGTCTCAGGAGAGAAGTCATTTTTAACCTCATTGTGTTACAGGAAGGATTTATGGTTTCACCAACGTAGGGAATTCCCTCCATCAACTGGACAACCCTTCCATGACCAAGCAGATTTGTCTTAGGGAATCACCTAAGCCACATGGAAGTTAGGTGATTTGTCCAGAGGCAGACAGCTGATAAATGGTAGCGGATGGATTTTAATCTATCACACTGTTCACTCTGCTGGGCTACCTCCTTATGAATGAGAAGACTGAGCCTCGAAGAAGGTAAATGATTTGTGCCTGGCTGACAGCAAATCCAGGCTTGCTCCTTTCCATACTGGAAGGGGCTTCCCTTGGCCCAACCATTCCAGAGATTCTATCTGCCCCTCTCCTACAGCAGCCCTAGTACTTCCACCCAAAGCTCAGAAACAGGAGAGCTTCCCCAGTGGCCACCTGCCTATGATCTTGAGATTTAAGAACAGTCTCAGGTGTCCAATGTCAACTGATGACTGTAATTAAGAGGCAGCAGGTGAGAAACAGCATGGGGGTAGGGAAAAGAGCCCGGAGCTTGGAGTTGAGAAGACCTAGTTCTGAATCCAAATTCTAACTCTGTAACCATGGGCAAGCCCCTTAACCTCTCTGGGCTTCAGGTACCTTAACTATCTACCTCACAGGACTCTTGGGATGTTCAAAGGAGAAAACTTGAAAGAGAACATCTGACTGTTGTTTGGTGGTGAGGATGTGGTTTGAAGGTATTCCTGCACATGCTGAACTGAGACACTCAATGAGAAACTGCTTTGATGTGGCCATTCACATGTATGAGGAATGCCCTGGAGAGGCTGTGTTTTGTTGTGGTAGAACCACCACCATGAGGAGGCCAATATTCCTATCAGGAATTGCTTTGGATGAACAGAGCCCAATGGAAATATACTCCATGAGAGGCGTTGGGGCCACTCAGCCAATCAGTGCCTCATGCTGAACCCTGGACAGCAAATGAATGAATTAGTAAATGAAAAGGAACCTAGTGAGCATTTATTATGCGCTTTTGTTGTGGGTACAGACAAGCATGTTGTTTCTGCTCTGAGGGAGCTTATATTCTAGCAGAGGAACATGACGCACAAATGGGAGCCTGTGTTGCAACAGGGCATGGGGCATGGTTGGGAGATGGCTGGGAAGTGGCACGGTGGCCTGATTCTAGACAAGAGAAGACAGAGAAGCTCCTCTATCATTGTCCAGGGTCCCAGGAGTGGGAAGGAAGGAAAGAAGGAAAGGAAGCAAGCATTTATGAAGTACCCACTGTGTGCCAGGCATTATACTAATCAAGTTATAAATATTATCTCATTTGATCCTCATAACAACTTAAGAGGTAGGTGCTGTTATTCCCATTTTACAGTTGGGGAAAATGAGGCAAACAGGTTAAGTGACTTCCATGGTCACACAGCTAATACATGTCTGAGGCCAAATTTGAACTAAAGTGTGAACTCTAACTCTAGACTAAATATGCAGTCTGTGATGAATTCAGTCATACTGTACCATCTAATTGCCTCCTGGTTCTAGTGGGAAGAGGAGGGAGATGGCCGTAATATAGGTGGTAGAGTTTAGAAACGGCTGAGAAGTGGGATTCCAGGCAAGGTGAAAGATCACCTCTTAGAGCTCATGGTCCTAGGACAGAATGAAATAATAGACGAAAAGCAGGTTGGAAATCTTAATATACTATATGTATGTAAACTATTAGTATTATTAACCCAATCCTAAATATTGGTCTAGGTGGTATATGATAGTTGAATTTAAATTGCTCTGTAATAATGGTTTTCACTTCCACAGCATACGAGAGCTATTGAAAAGTCAAAGGCTGATAGAAGTCTGTGATCTCATAGATGATGCACAGAAGGCAAGGAAGCATCTCATTCAATTTTTTCCATATTTTGCTAAAGCAAAAAATCTCCAGCCGTTGGTTGAAAGGACATTGGCTGTAATCAGACCTGATCTCTTACGGGGAAATATCGGTAAGTAATGATATTTACTGTTGTATAAAATTATCTTTTGGGTGATACTTGCAAAAAAAAAAATCCTAGCTCCACATTGAAAGGAAATGAAATGAGAAAATGACCACTTATAACCTTGTTATGCTGCTTAGCTGCCTCTCTACAGTGTGTGTGTGTGTGTGGGTGATCCTCGTTCTCAAAGGCTATGAGGCTGGAAACGCTTCAGGTGTAGTCCTGAAGGGGATGAATTCTGACAAAGAAAACCCACAGCACAGGCAAAAAAATGGCAGATTTGGTTCCCAACCACTTCTTTTTTATTTATAATATTTTATTCCTCCCCTCAACTAAATGTTAGAACAATCTTTTAACATTTTTTAAAGTTTTGAATTCTAAACTCATTCACTTCTAAAGAGACAGGGCTGAGTTCTGGAAAATGGGACAGAAAGTGCTAAGAATCATGCCATTCTTAGGTTGTATGTCCTCAGCATTCAGTTAACTGTGGACAGTCTTAATGTGAGACCCTCCTTCCCCCAGTGACCAGAACATTGGGAAAATCATTGAGGGCATTCTTTGTCAAGTTGGGATTGCACTAGCTCGAATCAGAAGTCCCTTCCACCTCTGAGAAATTAGATAGGTCAGTCCCAGCATGAGGAGATTCAGTGTAAAAGAGCTGACCCGCCCCTGGAATGGCCTTCCCATTGGAAGTAGAAGTAGGAGACATCCAGACACAGCCAAATACAAAGAAAGTTCTTGGACCTTCCTCAGGGAGGCCTAGAAAGAAGGTGGCAATGTTGGTGTCATTGAGAGTCCAATAGCAACCAGTGATGCTGATTCCACTTAATTTTCTTGCCTTGCAAAACTCACCGTGTCAGAAAATAGTCAAATCAATCCATTATCAAGCTTTCATCAAGTAGTTCTATGTGCCAAGCACTGTGCTAGGCATTAGAGATGCAAATACAATGAATGAAAACAGTTCCTGCTCATCAGGAGCTCGTGTTTTAATGGGGACACAGGAAGGGCATGTGTTTTTTGGTCATTTCAGTTGTGTCCGGCTCTTGGTGACCCCATTTGGGGTTTTCTCAGCAGAGATCATGGAGTGGTTGGCCATTTTCTTCTCCAGCTCATTTTACAGATGAGGAAACTGAGGAAAAGAGGGTTAAGTGACTCTCCCAGGATCACACAGCAAGTGTCTGAGATCAGATTTGAACTTATGAAAATGAGTCTTCACCACCTTGCTGCCCTAGGGACGTGTACAAGAAAATAAATATAAGGAGAATAAGTACAAATAAATAGAGTTGTTTGGGAGGGCGGACACCAGCAGGGAACAATGAGAACAGCACGCTCTGTCCTGTTGGCCTTAATGGGCATATTGGCTGGCTTTGCTGAATTGTTACTTTTTTCCTTCTTTCTTATATATTCTTTTTTTTTTTTACAAAGGGTGACTTCCTGGGTAGAGAAGCCAGAAGGATATATGTGTGAGGAAGTTAGGTATTGTAACAACAAAAGAAAGCAATACAACTTTTTTTCTAGAAAAAAGATTATTGCAGTTTACGCACCAACATCTATTGCTGAGGATGAGTAAAGAGAGAAAATCACCTAGGGAACTAGATAAAATCCTCTCAGCTAAGTTAATGGTAGCCTGACCATCAATGACTTCAGTTGGAATGACAGTGACAGACACAATGGGCCCAGTGGTTTGGGATCAAGACATGAAAGGTGGTAAAAGCAGAAAGCCTGCTTGGAAAACTCAGGATCTTCTTCTGGAGGGGAGCCAGAAGCCTCTGGATAGGGTGAATCCAGAATAAATCCCTGACAAAACAAAATTGACTTTCTTTTAACAAATGGAAAATTTCCTGATGTGGGAATCATTATAGAGTCAGCTCTTTGTGTGTAGTCAGAGCATCAAAGATTACATTCATAAAGAATAAAGATAAGAAAACAGTGTGAGATGACAACGGTTCCAATCTGACCTGGCTAAACCAGCCTTGGGGCTTAGATCCTGAGAGTCACCTGGGCAAATCCATCCCTGGTTGTTTGAGGCTCAGGTCACGTCTGTCATTCCATGGATTTTAGATTTGGGGAAGGCTGGAGCCCCGGCAGGGGTGGCTGCAGGCAGAGATAACACATTCGAGCCTGTGTGCATCCTTGGCTTCCAAAGAACTAGCCATCAGTGAAGGGATGTCTGAAACCGGGATGGCCTTTGGTTCCCAGCCTGAAAGTCATGCCTAACTCGTCCCCCACCCTCATGCCCGGTGGCTAACCTTTTGCCAAGTCTTACCAGTGCCACCTCCTCTCTATATGTCACATCCTCCCCTTCACTCCATTTACACGACTAGCCCCTAGTTTAGTCTCTCATCTCCTGGTCTACCTCATTGACTGGCTCCAGTCTCTCCTTGTTCCAGTCCAGCCTTCACATCCTGCCAAACTGATATTCCTAAAGCACAAGTCTGACCACGTCACTTTCCTGCTCAGGCATCTTCCATGGCTTCCAATGATATTTAGGATGAAATAAAACCGGTATTTGATATTTAAGCTCTTCACGGTCTAGTTCCAACCTATCTTTTATTGAAAATAAATTTCTATTGCTATCTTTTGTCTTCATATAATTTTATAACAGATTTTGAAAGGAGAAAAAAGAAACAGCTCAGTAAAGCTAACCAATGTATCAAAAAAGTCCGACCATTTATATGGTATTCCACATCCACAGTCCTCAACATTTGCAAAGAAGTGGGAGGAAGTTCCCTATCTCTTTTTTTGAATCCAAGCTCATTCATTACAATCCGACAGAATTCGGTTCTGATTTTGTTGCTGGCCTTTCCACTTTCACTGTTATGGTCATTGTGTAAATTGTTTGAATTCTGCTCACTTTGCTCTGAGTGAGTTCCCGCTGCTCTGTAGTCGTCATTTCTTACAGCATAGGAGCCATCTACTACTATTCAATCCAACTGATGGGCATCAGTTGTTTCCGGTTTTTGACACTACAAAAAAGTATAGCCATAAATATTTGGGTGTTTACGGGGCTTTCTGTTTTGTTTTTGAGTTCTTGGGAGTATATACTTAGCAGTGGAATTCCTAGGTCAGAATGAACGGACGTTTTGGTCACTTTCTTCATAAAAATGTGCTTTCTAGAATGGTTGCACCAAATGACAAGTCTCCCAACAGTGCATTAATGTGCCTATCTTTTCACGGTCCCTCTAGCATTGACTATTCTCATCTTTTGTCATCTTTGACAGTTTTCTGGGTGTGAGATAAAATCTCAGAGTTGTTATGTTTTATATTTCTCTTAATACTAGTGATGAAGGGTAATTTTTCCTATAGCTGTTAATACTTTTCACCACTTCTTTGGTAACTTTGTTCACGTCCTTTGAGCCCTCATCTATTGGGGAATGGCTTTTGGCTTTATGTAATTCTGTTAGTTACCTATCTATGTCCGACGTTAGAGCCCTATTAAAGTTATTTGATTCCAACCTATTTTTTTCCAGACTGATTTCATATTCTTTTCCTTTACATTCTCTCTATTCCATCCAAGGTGGACTATTCGCTATTCCCCATCTGCGACACCTCCCACTTTTTTACCTTTGCATATAGGCGGTTGTCCGCACCTGCAATGCTTTCCACTTTACTTCTGCCTCTTGAAATCTCAGATTAAGCGCCACCTCTTCCAAGATTCCTTTCTGTTTTTACTTCTTCCTCCTCTCCTTGAGGTCAGTCAATTGTGAGTCAGAAGGGGAGGTCCCTAAAAGAAAGCGTATCTTGTCATTTCTGGGTGTATTCTGCGGCATCCTTGTAAATGTGCACAGACCAGGAAAAGGGACTATGGAAAGTGGATTCCTTTTGTGGGTTGTCAGAGCGCCATCTGGGAACAGTGAAGGATATTGCAACCATTAGTAAAGTCCATTCAAATGCGTTGCTGGCTAGCGCCACCTGGTGGGGAACACACACACACACACACACACACACACACAACACACACACACACACACACACACACACTCTCTCTCTCTCTCTCTCTCTCTCTCTCTCTCTCTCTCTCTCTCTGTAGCTGGTTACATAATTAATTAGTTGTTCAGTTATATGGTAGCTGCTCTCTCTGAAGATGCAGAAAGCATAGCAGGAGTTAGGTTGTGGATGGGTATGCCTGGCACCAAGTACACACAACCGGTCACATTATCGGGGCACATTTTCTTAGTGTAGAATGGAAGCTTTTTCTATGTGTATTTATCTATTTTTTTAAAATGTTAATTAACTAATTAGTTGATTAGTTTTTAGTTGTCAACAATTACTTGCATAAGCTTTTTAATTTTAAATTTTCTCCTCCCTCCCCGCCTCCCTCCCTAAGATGGCATGCAATATGATACAGGCTGTACCTATACATTCCTATTTAATATATTTTCACATTATTCATGTTATAAAGAAGAATTAGAACGAATAGGAGGAACCACAAGGAAGAAGAAACAAAACAAAACAGAAGAAAAAAAAGAGCAAATAGTAGGCTTTAATCTGCATTCAAACTCCATAGTTCTTTTTCTGGATGTGGATAGCATTTTCTACCATGAGACTTTTGGAGATGTCTTAGATTCTTGCATTACTGAGAAGAGCCAAGTCTATCAAAGTCAGTCATTGTACAATGTGGCTGTTACTGTGTACAACGTTCTCCTGGTTCTGCTCACTTCACTCAGCATCAGACCATACAAGTGTTTCCAGGTTTTTCTGAAGTCAGCCTGCTTATCATTTCTTATAGCACAAAAGTATTCCATTACATTCATATACCACAACTTGTTCAGCCATTCCCCAGTTGATAGGCATCCTCTCAATTTCCAATTTTTTGCTACGTCAGAAAGAGCTGCTATAAATATTTTTTGCACATGTGGGTCCTTTTTGCATTTTTATAATCTCTTTGGGATACAGCCCTAGAAGCGCTATTGCTGGGTCAAAGGGTATGCACATTTTTATAGCCCTTTGGGCATAGTTCCAAATTGTTCTCCAAAATGGTTGAATCATTTCACAACTCCACGAACAATGCATCAGTATTCCAATTTTCCCCCATCTTCTCCAACATTTATCATTTTCCTGTTTTGTCATGTTGGCCAGTCTGATAGGTGTGATGTGGTACCTCGGAGTTGTTTTGGTTTGCATTTCTCTAATCAATAATGATTTAGAGCATTTTTTCATATGACTATAGATGGCTTTAATTTCTTCAGCTGAAAACTGCCTGTTCATATCATTTGACCATTTATCAATTGGGGAATGGCTTGTGTTCTTATGAATTTGACTTAGTTCTCTATCTATTTTAGAAATGAGGCCCTTATCAGAAACACTAGTTGTAAAAATTCTTTCCTAGTTTTCTGCTTCCCTCCTAATCTTGGTTGCATTGCCTTCGTGTGTAAACTTTTCAATTTAATGTAATCAAAATTATCCATTTTGCATTTCGTAATGTTCTCTATGTCCTGTTTGGTCATGAAGTTCTTCTGTTCTCCATAAATCTGACAGGTAAACAATTCCTTGCTCTCCTAGTTTGCTTATACCATCAGACTTTATATCTAAATTGTAGACCCATTTTGATTTTTTTTTTTTGGTACATGGTGTAAGATTTTTGTCTATGCCTGATTTATGCTTTTTTCTAGTTTTCCCAACAGTTTTTTACCAAATAGCGATGCAAGTTGGGGTCTTTGGGTTTATCAAATAGTAGGTTACTATAGTCATTGACTACTGTGTCTTGCATACCCAACCTACTCCACTGATCCACCCTCTATTTCTTAGCCAGTACCAAGTAGTGTTGATGCTTGCTGCTTTATAATACAATTTAAGATCTGGAATGGCTAGGCTGCCTTCCCTTGCCTTTCTTTTCATTTGTTCCTTTGATATTCTGGACCTTTTGTTATTCCAAATGAATCTTGCTATTATTTTATCTAGCTCTATAAAATAATTTTTGGTAGTTTGATTGGTATGGCACTGAATAAGTAAATTAACTTAGGTAAAATTGTCATTTTTATTATATTAGCTCAGCCTACCCATGAGCAACTGATGTTTTTCCAATTATTTAGATCTAAGTTTATTTTTGTGAAAAGTGTTTTGTAATTGTGTTCACATAGTTCCTGGGTTCTTTGTGTATTTATTAAGAGGGTTTTGTTTTTTGGGTTAAAAAAAAATCATTCTGTGGGGGGGCAGACCAGAAGGGGGAGATAATAAACATTTAAAAAATAAATTTAAGAAATTTAAAAGTGAATTAAGAGAAGAAATACAAGGTCCCTGAGGGCAAGACCGATTTTGGTTTTGCTTTGTTTCCCTAGCACCCAGCATAGTGCCTGTCCATGGTAGACAATCAAAGAATGCTTGTTGGATTGAACTGAATAGTACTTGGTATCAATGGAGGACCCATGGGAGGTCCTGTGGCTCTAGTTCAGAAGAGCTTTCCCTGGCCAAAGACCTCCAATTTTACTTGGTGCCCCATGGGAACAGCAGGAAGGCTTGTTTGGCCAACAGACTGCCACTGGCACCAACTGGTGCCTGTTTGTCTGTAAGAACCAGGACTCCCTCTGCAGGGCTGCCTGCCCCTGATCCCCCAAGCAGCTGGCCACAGTGTGCTGACAGTTGTCTTTCTCTTCTTAAGAGGATGTCCTAGAGCTCCTCCAGAAGGAAGGCTTTGTGGCAAAAATGCAAAAACAGCTGTTCTTGACCGAGGAGGAAGCCAAAACATTCTACAGCCATCACAAGTATTACGACTATTTCTCAACTCTGATAGAACATGTCAGCAGGTACAGTATGCTTTGAGAGAGTCATTGACATCTCTGAGAAATGTCATTCCAGAGTGGGAGAGACCAGCTGATCATGTGAGTCCCTGGGAATCGCTACAAGACCCTGGCTCTCTCTTACGGCATTTATTTTTCCAGATTTATCCACAATTCATTTATATAACCCTGAAAGGGGGGAGGGGATGAATTTATTGCAAGCACTATTGTGTCCATTTTACAAATGAGAAAACTGAGATTAATGGAGGTTAAGGAGTGGTGTGGCTGGATTTGAACTGAGGAAGACCTGACTCAGCTGCTTAGTAGCTGTGCACCTCAGATAGTTACCTAACCTCTCTGGGCTTCAGCTTCTCCATATGTGCAATAAAGAGGTTGGGTGCCATAACCAATAAAATCCCTCCCAGCTCAAAGTCTGTGATGCCATGACTTTGCTATGGTCATGCAACTAGTAAGTGTCAGGGCTAAGATTTGCACTCTTTTTTTTTCTTGACTTGAAATTCATAATGGGAATTGCATTCATTTATACTGATTTGTGCTAGCTTCAGTTTCAGAGAGTGATGTTTTCTAATCTCACTCCCAAATCCTGGGGAGCAACCGTATTTGGAGCCTGCAACCCCTTGAATATGGCGAGTATAGTATGGTATTTTAACTGCAAGACATGGGCTGTCCCTCTCTAAGAGGCAACATAGTATGTTAGGTAAGGCCCTGGATGGGGAGTAGGGTAAGAAGTGGATTAGAATCTTGTCTTTGACACTTATGGGTTGTGTGACCATAGACAAGTTATATAACTTCTTTGTCTCCATTTTCTTATCTTTAAAATGGGAATAATAACATCATTTGTGCTTATCTAATAAGATTTATCTGGGATCACATGAGATAATGAATATAAAATGCTTTACAAATTTTAAAGAGGAACACAAATGTCTGATGATAATGATTAGTAGTTAATTCAATACCATTGAATTACACAAATGAGTGCCATGAAAATCAGTTATTATTTTTAGGAAAATTTAAAAATATTGGCAGATGACCAAAATCTGTTAACTACGTTTTTAAAAAGGGGTACTTACCTTTGTAAAGAAGTGATCTCAAAGCCAGGAAGAGTGGAATGTAAATCCTGCCTAGGGGAGCGTGGCTCTGCAACCTTGGGCAAATCACAGAACCTCTCAATATTCTAGGCAATGCCCCACAACTATAAGTTTCAGAGAAGGTGCCAACTTGAAATGGCAGAGGTATTGTGCTCCTCTGAGAATTCACATCAAATTACAGATCACACCTCTATCCTTATTTAAATAGAAAAGACTGTTAGAACTGTCAAAAGAAGGGGGGGGAAAAGAGCTTCTGAGTTGTGTTTAGGGTCAGCTTTGTTGGGATGAAAAGTTTATGCAGTCATGTAAGCGCATGAAAGTGTTCTCTCAGGCTGCCACGGCGATGTCAGAGAAAGCTCTGGATTTCTGCCAGTCACCGATGGCTTCTCTACCTCGGCCAGAGTAATCTAAGTAAGGGGCTGTCTCTAGCTTAGCATTACAGCCAAAGTTAGAAATCATGACAGAATGTTGATGTCAAGGAAGAAGGAAGCACTCAAAAACCTGTTTATAACATAAAACTGGACAAAATAGAACATAGAATCCCACAGAGCCCAGAGAAGATAGTAAGCCGTCCATTGCTTAATGGACACCAGCAATATTTTTGGGAAATTCCATCAATTCAATACACCTCAAATATGGTTAGTTTTTAGCACTCAGTCTTCCAAGGACAATGCCTACACAGTAGACTCTACAGGCATTTTCTTTTAATACATATATTTTTTTTAAATTCTGAAATTAAATGTCAAGAAAAGAGCATCTTCACACACACAGCAGAATACAAAAAGAGGATTCTATATTGGCATGAATCTCCATTTCATACTGTTTGTTTTTAAAATATGTATATATGTATGTGTGCATATATGTATATATGTACATATATAAAACAAATTTTACACATTACTTCTAAATCTTTCTTTCTTGTTCATGCTTCCTTCTGAACTTCCTTCTGTTTTGAGCATTAAAAAAGTTATAATGACCTAGTTTTTTTGCCTCAATATTGAGAATCTCCTCTTCCTCTTAACACCTTCCTAATTAAAAAGCTGAAAGAGAGGAAGCAAAAAAATAAAAACAAATCCCAACTCTCATAGTAATCAAAGACAAGCAAAATGAATCCTTATGCTGCTCATGTCCAAAAATGCATGCCTCTGATCCTCGTGTCTATTACTTCCCTGTCAGGATATGTATAACATGTTTCATTATCTCACTGATTTTTTTGTGCAGTTCTAGGGTGGTAGAAGTCACTCATTGTAGTTCTTTGTTAGATTTCTGGATCATTATTTCATCTGGTGTGAACTTCAGGCTTTTGCTAGAGTAAGTGTATGGGAGCTGGGCTGTCTGTTTCCCATTCAAGCAGTCATGTTCAGTCTATTTATCTTCCTCAAACATTTCTCACAGAGTGATGAAACACAATGGACTCTTGTGCTCTACTGTCTAGGATGAGTCTCCGCCATTACATCTGTATGTGATTGTATGAGCTCAGGTGAAAAGGAACTCCTAGTGAGGTCATGGTCATTGCTTGTGAGAACTAAGGCAGCAGTCTTCCTGGCTTCCTGTCCTTTTTCCTGAAGCTGGTTCTGGATCTGGCTATTGTTTGGTTTCTATAGTACCAGAGTCATCTGCTCCTTTCAACTATATTTGGTTTGCATGTGGTCATTTTCTCCACAACTATAGCAGAAAGTAGGGATGTCCCTCTGATTTTCCCCTTAGGACAGTATGTGTGTGTGTGTGTGTGTGTGTGTGTGTGTGTGTGTGTGTGTGTGTGTGTAAGCATGACCTTACTCTCTTCTTCAGGCATTATTGCCCCATCACCACCAACCTCTGGTGTTCATATGAATTAAGTTACTTGGCTTTCCCCCTCTGTGCTGAAAGGTAGATGCCTCAAAATGCAGAGCTTTTGCTTTGATGTTTTACCCCTCCAAGGACTTTGTGAAGTTTTGTAAACAAGTTCTCCATGTCACATCTGGGTTGGCACTAATCAAGCTTCCCATAAATCAGTAAGTTTTTGTATTGAGACTCTGCATCAGCCTACCGTTCTTCATTGTCAGAGTCTGTGCTAAGAGCAGTAGTCACCTTTCCCCAAACTCCTATCCCTCATGAAAGGTTTCAAGACCGTCCTCAAGACTTGGTTGGCTCAGGGGATTCAAAGTTCAGCCTGCTGATATCACTGCCTGGTCACCTGAGTACAAAACAGGTACCCGTCATTGCTCAGCTGGTGGAGCAGAATGTGCCACTCCAGGAAGGAAGCTTCCTTAGCAGAATGAAGGCAAGGGTGCCTCAGTACCTGCCTTTGTTGGGTTTCCGGTTGTGGCCCCGTGCATCTCCTTTTGTTAACTGAAGAATGTCCTACAAGAGCCTCATTTTGTTCCAATTGTTGAACCCAAATGGCCAGAGGACTGGTCTGAGTCAGGGCCAGCCTAGAATGGACACTTTCCAATTCTGCACTTCATTGGCACCCATTACAACCACGTCTCATATGCTTGTTCCCTAGGAGGGCAAAAATCCTCTCCTGAGAAAGTTACTAACATCATCCTCTCTCCCAGCACCCATCCAGCCTTACATTGGCCACCATGTATGGCCTTCACACCTGAGGTAGACTGCAGATCTTACATTCAGGTGAGAGTTCCACACATGACTTAAGGGAATTGGCCCCCTTCTATGAAGCATTAATGATCTGTCTCTCACTAACTTAGTGAACCTAGTTTTGGACTCTATGCCGCTGATTAGTTCAGGGGAGATATCCCTATGTACATGTAGGTAGAGGCAATAGCCTTGGACAAATATGCACTCTCATATGAACCTTGGCTTTGCTTTAGTATTCTTTATGTGTGAAAAATGTGAATATATTACAAACTTAAAGCTCAGTTCTGTGTGGATTTTGTGTTGTATCTTCCCTCCTTAACACTGTGAGTCACATAATTCCACCCCCTCAGATGAAAGATTTTGCAGCAACTCGCAGGCATTGTCCACTAACTGAATGTTTTCAAGTAGTTGTGAATAGTGAAATAGGAGTAGTAATTCACATAGCATATTCATAATGGATTCTTCTGACCATGTTCCCATATATACTTTTATACTTCGTTTTAACATTCATTTTTATAGATTTTAAGTCCTCAATTGTCTCCTGCCCTTACTCATTGAGAAGGCAATCAATACGGTATGAAGTACATGTGGATACACTTTTCTAGGAATCTTCAGGGATCATAGCATCCTCTTTCCTATAAACGGGCCCTGGTCCATATAGCAGTCATCTCTGGTTATTAGCCTCCACAGTTGACAGTATCTTCTAAATACCAGATTCATATCTTCACAGTGTTGGCCCATAATGGCAATATTTACCCAGTTACTAAGAGTAATAGAACAATTAAGCAAACAGTTAGTTAAATATAACAATGCAAATTAGCAGCCAGAAGGACATTCAAATAAACAGAATGAAATGGTGGTCATAAAATGGTTACCATACTCACTGGCATCATCAAGGAACAAATATTAACATTGTAAATGTTCAATTAGCGCAGAGTTCAGCTCATTATTTAATCCATAACTTGAGAAGCAATTCCAAAAGAAAACTGAAACAATCCCAAAACAAAAGGAAAGTAAACACAAAACAACAGAATTAATACAAAAGAAAATCCTAATCCAGTAGCAGCAAAGGAGAAGAAAGTAAAGTACCGCTGCTAGCAATGAAATTCTGCAACAAAGGAAATTGCACATGAAAACCCAAAGGAAAAGAAAGGAAAATTTAAAAGAGTTCGAAATTGAATTAAACCAAAGTCAACATACAATAATATTTTTAAAAGTATTCAGTATTGGGCTAAATTTAGGTCAAACTCTAAAAGAAGGATGAATTAATGAAATGTTAAAATGAAAGTTCTGAGGAGTTGAAGAAAAAGCCAAGATCAAAATGAAAACCTTTAAATGCTTGTAAAATACTGCCAGCAGTCTGTCTTCAAAGAAGCCAAAGAAACAAGGATTGGGGTGATAACTCCCGAAGCAAAGAAAAAGACAACTGTAGGTAAATGCGCCCCTCCCCCAACTCTCCATTTCTAACACCGGCTGTCATTTTGGAGCTTGCAGGTCTGTTCTTTACCGCTTTCCATCTCTTCCACGGAGTTTCGCCTCAAGGATATGTGGTCACACCCTCAGCCCACCAGGCTTGAAGCAATCATTCTTCCAAGGGAAATCAAAGCGACCTCTGAGTTCAAGGTTGAGGGTTCTGCTTGCTTGAATAATAATGTCATTCATAAAACTAAACCGTGACTTTCTAGCCCCCAGGGCATCCAGACTCCCCAGACTGGAATTGCAGTGTTCTTGTCAGGTAAGATCTGAACCCTCTCAGGGCTTACCTAGCTATGAACGCTCTAATTCTGACTGAGGACCTTACTGGAAGTAAACTAAGGGATCCAGCTTACACAATATGACCAATGGTGACGTGGCCCCATAGGACACAGCTGATGGGAGAGAGACGGGGAGGAAAAAGAAGACTCCCCCCCTGCAGTTAATGGGCCCCAGAGACACAAGGAGAGAAGTCACTCGCCACCAGGCCTCCCTTGAAATCTGCTTTCTGGGGAAGCTGACCTTGACTGGGGTGTGTGTGTGTGTGGGGGGTAGTTGTTCTCCATCTCACTGGGGAGGGTGGAAGGGGTATAAAGTGTAAGGAGTCTAAAAAGTTTAGTTTCTCTGAGATCATATCAATCCGTAGAATCCTAGATCTAGAGCTTAGGGGCCATCTAGACCAGTCCTCTTATTTTACAGTTGAGTAAACTGAGTCCTGGAGATGTCAAATAACTTATCCAAGTTCACACTGGATGTAGAAAGTTCTACAGATGTAGAAGCAGGATGTGAAGCAAGGTCACAGAATTCTAGGATTTGAGAGTTGGAAGGGATCTTAGTATCTTTTTAATCCAAGTTATATGTGAAAGGAATCCCCACTGTAGATGGAGCTCCTGGCACTCATGGGCTGTCATGGCCAGATAATTCCTGATTCATGGTAAGTCATAAAGCACTCTATAAATGCTGGGCATAGGCATCATGACACCATATACAAAATCAGCTTAGCCAAAATTAGACCATTTTTTCTGATTCTAAGGAGAATGGGGTATTCAAATGGAAAATATTTCTAGTGAAAAAAAATCACCTTTAGTTTCTCTTACTTCCCAAGGAAATCTATTTTTAAAAAATTTAGGGTATATATGAGTGTGAAATGTCTTTCTGAACTAAAGGGTTTTTGTTGGTTTGGTTTTTTGCTTAGAGATGGGGAAAATTGACATTAGAGAGATGTGGAAAAAATTCTCTTTTGTCATTAAGCCATCCACATTCGAGGAATTCTCATAACAACAATGCCCATTTTTGTTGTGCTTCAGTGTTTTCAAAGCACTATCCTCACAACAGCCCTGTGAAGGAGGCCTTACAAATGTCATCAATTCCAATTTACAGACGAGGAAATGGAGGCATGGAGGAGTTTAGTGGCTTTCCTGGGATCACACAGTACATAGAAGTGTACAGTTGGGGAGTTCCAAAGGATTTGCCCCAAGAACTATTGGCTCTCCTTACCCTGGTCAGGAGCTGATGAGTTCTTGATTCTTAGTGAAATTTTGGAATTTAGGCAAACCTATTAGGTTCCCCAGCTAATTCATATAATTTGGAATCTCAATGATTCAATAATTTCAATAATAGGTATTTTATATTAAATATCAATTGGAGATTATTTCAAGTCTATGTCCAGTTTGATTGTTTTTGAAATGGTTTCTGGCTTAGTCAGTAATATACTGCATTTGTATTATATTGCCCTAGCACCCAATGAATACTTATTCATTCATTCATTCACTGCTTCCTCATCTCTGTCTATTAGCTTCCTTCAAGCTCCACTTTCACCTTCTCCATGAAACCCGGCCCCACTCCTCAGTGACTCTCTCCCTCTTCTGACCTTGCTGTACTCTGAAATGAGCAAACTCGAATTTGTATCCCATTTATCTGTGCACAGGCCTTCTTCTTCTACCAGATTCAGTCAATCAGTTAACAAACATTTATGAAGTGCCCACTACGTGCCTGGCCCTTGCTAGGCACTGGGATACACAGAAAAGCAAACCTCCCATAGCTGTCCCTGCCCTCAAGGAGCTCCCAGTGCACTGGGGTAGACAACACGCTAACAGCTATGTGCAAACAAGACGTAAGCAGGTTAAATTGGATATGCTGAACACAAGGGAGGCAGTAAGATTAAGGAGAACTGAGAAGGGTAGTCCTTTAACTGAGGCTTGACGAAGGCCAGGGAAGTGAAGAGGTGGAAGAAAAGAGAAAGAGAATTCCAGGCAAAGGGGACAAACTATGAGAATGCTGGGGGTTGGGACATAACATGTCCTGAGTAAAGAGCAAGGCAGTCAATGTCACTAGATTGTACAGTACATGGAGGGGAGGAAGGTGTAAGAAGATTAGAAAGGTAGGAGCCGGCCAGGTTAAGAAAGACTTGGTAAACCAAATTTTTCTTTTGAGGCAATTGGGGTTAAGTGACTTGCCCAGGGTCACATAGCTAGTAAGTGTCAAGTGTTTGAGGCCAGATTTGAACTTACGTCTTCCTGAGTCCAGGGCTGGTGCTCTATCCACTGTGCCACCTAGTTGCCCCTAGGAAAGGCTTTGAAAGCCAAACAGAATACAGTGTCAAAGGCTGCAGAGAAGTCAAGAAGGATGAAGACTGAGAAAAGAGCATTAGATTTGGAAATTAAGAGATCATTAGTAACTTTGGAGAGAGCAGTTTTAGTTGAATGGTGAGCTCAAAAGCCCGAGCATGGAGTGTTGAGACTGGGAGGAAAGGAAGTGGATTACCTAGTGTAGGTGGCTTTCTCAAGGAGTTTACCCACAGAAAGGGAGGAGAGTCATGGAATGATAGCTAGCAAGGAAGAAAGGATCTACTGAGGGCTTTTTGAGGATGGAGGAGATATGGACATGTTTTTGACATTAGGAAAGGAGTTGGTAAATAGGAAGTTCCTGGAGATAAGTGAGAGAGTAGGGAAGAGAGAGATGATCCGCTGAAGAAGGTGGGGTGGAATGGGATTGCTTACACATGCAGAGGGGTTCAAAGTTCCTTGAGGCTAGGTCCTAGCTATCTTTATATTTCCCTCATTACCTCATTGGTACTTTGCACAAAGTCAATGTTCATTGAGTAAATGAATGAATGAGAATAGTGATGGGGTCTTGGTCTGGGATTTCATTGTATAGAGAACTCACAGATGAGGAAACTTCTTCCATCTTTGGGGTTTGGAATCTTCTCTGCAATTTAGGGTCTCAGAGTTGCCTCTATCATTGGGAAGTTAAGTGGCTTGTCCAGGGCCACACACATAGTATGTGTCAGAGGCAGGACTTGGCCACAGGTCTTCTTGGCTTTGAGGTCCACTATTCATCCACAGTATGTGATCTCTGTGTCTGTCTGTTTCTGTCTCTGTGTCTCTCCCCCTCCCTTCTTCCTTCCCTTCTTCCCCGCACTGAAACACACATGTACAATTAACTACAGCACGCGTATTTCGTAGGTTGGATTTTCTCTTCAGTACTTAACTATTCGCCTCTCCCCCACCTTTATTTTTTCCCAGTGCTCCAATTCTGGCACTTTGTTTAGAACGAGTAAATGCTGTGTTCTACTGGCGATATATACTGGGCCCAACGGCTGCTGATGAAAACCCTACCAGGTACTTCCTAGCAGAGGTCTCCAACCTTTTCTAGAATATCAGGGTAGGAAGGGAAAGCATCAAACATAACAACTGAAATGGAGTCCTGAGTAATTAAAATGCTCCACCTTGGCTCAAGAGAAGACAGAGGAAAACACCAACGCTCTTTCTCTTTGCAGAAATGGGGGGTGATGGGTCTGGAACATGGCGTAGACTGCTAGATTTGATTGATGAATTGACTATCAAGTCCCGCTGAACTTTTATTTTCTACCTATTTCTTTATTCTGTATTTTTCTTTCATGATTAATGGCTCTCACCTTGGAAATGAAGGTGATATAAAAACAAGAGATACCAGTAAGTTTTAGAGTTGGCAATATACCGTCTCCAGAGACATTAGGGAATCATCTCAAGATGGCCCATTTTGTATTCCTCATTCCTGGCCCTGAGCTACTCAGAGAGGAAGGACCACACGAAGTATTTCTCATTTTGACAAAGATCATTCCTGAATGATTGTGTTAAGCAGGTCCTGATCTAGGTAGCCTGACCCCCTCTCCACCCTGATCCACTCCCAGCTGGTTTTCAGAGGCATGGCTTTGTAGCCCCATCCCCCCCCTCCCACTGGTGAAGTTGATGTTGTTGAACCCAAGTGCATCCGCTTTATCCCACTGCTCATTTGCTCCAATGTGAAGGTCTTTTTGGCCCCAAAGCCTGCTTACAAAGAGAGTGTCAGTTTCTCAATATTGATGAGAGATCAAG